CCACATACACTATTTGCAAACTATACATACACATTTGTATATATATATATATATATGTATATACATGTGTGTGTGTGTATAACCTATTGAACTACAATGCCGCATACCAATCAATCATTCAACCCCTTTGGCTTGGCATAATGGCAGAAAGACAGACTTCGGAAGTTACATATAGTGGTCGAGGTATTGATTGTTTGACCCAAAAAAAAAAATACCATTCAAATCTTATTCTATTGTTTTTTTCTTTTGATTTGATTTCTATATGTAATGATAATTTTTATAAAAGTGGCTGACCATTAAATTGCCTGTTACTACCTAGACATCTTTCGTAATAGATTTATATAACTAGGTTGATTCCTTATACATATATGTATGTATATCATGCATGAAAAAACTCGTTAGAACCCTACGTAAAATAATTGGTAAAACGAAAAATCTTATTCAGAAGCAAAACATGGTATAGGTTTCAGAAAGATTAAATGCTATTATAAGAAACCCATCAATTATATGATTTAACTGTGACAAGAGACCAAACAGTGATTGGTCGGTCCATCATCGAACAGTAATAGATATTATTGTTGTTATTATTATTATTATTATTATTATTATTTTGGTGCCATTTTGATTCGAAGCTTTTTCTATCGAGACTCTCTTTGGTCGTCCCAAACTTCTCGAGTTAGTCATTCTCTAGGCACGTGGCATCACGTGACTGTTGTATGTCGTCGTCGTCGTCATCAAAATTAATTTATTTTATTTATATAGAAAATATAATACCCAGACCAGATTATCTTGAAATTGATTGCGAGACAGTGGTTATATTTTTTTCTTCTTCTTTTCAAGTGAAATAATAATGTCAATGACTTGACCATTCATTGTATTGATGACGAATATGCGTTATCGAAAAATATTTTTTTAATCTGATTTTACATCCTTTTATATATGAAATGTTGTGTCAATCTTTTTAATCATTTAATTTCGTAGCTGTTTCAAATCTTGTGTCGGATGTAAAATTGTCACGTTTAACAAATTTTGAATAACCTAGTGAGAATCCAAAGAAAATAGAACCGATACGGTTGGTTTATATACGATATATAATTTGGTTTGAAAAATCTCTCTTTTATCCATAATTATTTCCGATTTTGAATTTTTTTTTATACAAATCTTATCTTCAATTTGATTATGGATTTTATACCCTACTCTTGTTATTAATTCATTCATCTACTTTTGCTATATATCTCTAATATATCCATTATATATATATATATATATATTAATATTAAGAAGATGAAAACTTGTAACTTAGAGAGGGTGTCTAAATTTAAGAATCTTGCCATTTTGTAATGAATACAAGATCCTTCGAGATCTTATCCACACATCACACAAAAATCATGGTTATGTTTTGATATTTGAAAGGTTTTAAGATAATGTGATAGGGGCCTCTTCTTTGCCAAAAAATGACATGATTAGACATTTGGACATGGACATGCAATATCAAAGTAGAAGAGTGAAAAAAAAACTTTCAATATTTATACAATATCATGGGAGAATCCCATAAAAAAAATCCCTAATGAAACTTAATTTTAACATAATAATAATAATAATAATAATAATAATAATAATAATAATAATAATAATAATAATAATAATAATAATAATAATAATAATAATAATAATAATAATAATAATAATAATAATAATAATAATAAACCAAATATAATTACAATTTTAGCATTTTACGTATGACCGCTAACACTATTAATGAAACTTTGGATTACGTCTCCGGAATCCGATCTATAGATTAAAAAAATAAATAAAAACAAGATAAAAACAAAAAAAACAAAAACAAAAAAATCCACGTACATGGTATCTATGAAATCCAAGGGTCCATTAATTTTTATCAATGGTCACATGTAATCCATTAGGTTATATATATTTGAAATTTTGTTTTGATAATGTATATATTTATATATTTGAAAGTTTAACATAGTTGGTGTCTTATTATGTGAAAAACTGAACTTTATATATTAACTCCTTAATTTTTTTCTTTACCAAAAAAAAAATCAAGGAGTAGTTAAAGTTTTTGGCAGGATTTTTCATAATAATACACAGACACACAAACACATTGATAAAAAAGAAAGAGATTTATTAGATAAAGTTTATTTTTTTTATTAATCGGTATGTAATATATATATATATATATATATAACGTATTAAACATATATAATATGTAGAAAATGTGTACACATATAAAATTGATGGCCCGTCTATTGCTGAAAAGCTAGCGAGATGAACCACTCTTATATAGTGCAGATTAGACAGAGTTCCTTTAAATAAATTATAAAAATAAATGAATAAAAATCAGATGGGAAAAACAGAAGAAACCAATGTATTTTGTCCTTTGGGAGAAGACACAAGTAGGGCTAATAAAGCCAATGAAACTATAGATCGAGATAAGGGTCCTTTTCTTTTACTTTTATGAATGTATACACTGTTTTTAGTTTTTGCTATAATTGCTATCATTATTATCATTTTTGGTGAGATATATAGATTCTTGTATATTATATGGTCGAGGCTGAACTATATTTTCTTTTTCACCAATTTAGAAAAAGAAAATATTGAAAAACTATATATCACATGAAAAACAATACGATTTTAAGTTTCTTTTAGTCTTTTGCACCATTAAATTATATATATATATATGTATATATTAATTATAGGGACCTTTGGTTCAAATATATTTTCTAGAAAATTTGAAATTACGGGTGAATACTTCTCTCCACGTTTGGATTTGAATCCAAGATAAAAGAAATATACTTTGCATATTTTTTTTACCCATAGGCCACTTAAACTTAGGTTATATTAATATATATATATATATATATATATATATATTGTGAACAAAAGCGAAGTATTTGATAATATCCCATAATTAAAAGGTAATATTTTCTCAAAATTTTATAAAATATGTAACGTGGAAAATTATCATGTTTTTTGACAATCTAACTGCCGGAGAAAAAGGTGAAGAAATGACAAGCTGGTGGAGGAAGACATCATCGCCCTGAGGAAAACCAACGCTTCACAACGTGGCTTTGAATATGCTTTCAAGAGTTTCGTTGCATGGGCCACGTGAAGTTGCATTGCACTTCAACGTACAAGTGGGCCCTTCTACATATCACAAAGCTTTTCCCCCTCCCTCCCTCCATGCACCGTCTATACATACATATACATATATATATATAGGTATCCTATATAAGTGTACACATATAGCGAATCATAAACTATCATCTAATATATTGTATATAAAAAACCAAAACACATACAAATGTATTTAAGCAATTTCCATGCGGGACGCCGACAGGAGTTTTGGGTGTTCGGGCATTTTGTGTGTATACATTGGAGGGTGAACTGAAGTGTGTGCGTTGTCGGCGTCTCTGATTGTACGTACGTGCGGGTCTTTAATTAATTATCTGCGTGTATGTATGCATGTATATGTAAACGCGTATATATGTGTGTATAGAGTAGGTGTATATATAAGTATGCCGTATATATATGTGTAGTTCCAAGGTTCTTGGGGCTTATGAGGCAGTTAATGGAGAACATGAAGGAGAGAAAGGAGAAGCTGAAGAGATCATTGAGACAACAAAGAGCAAAACTTTATATTATGAGAGTCTGCATCACAATGCTTCTCTGTTGGGATGATAACGCTCATTCTTGATTTTTTGCCTTTTTTTTGTTCTTCCGGTGTTGGTGTATATACACACATATATATATATATATGTATATATATAGATATATATGTTAGAATTTATACTGAAGCTCCTTTTTCTTGTTGAAGTTTGACAAATTCTCTCTCTCTCTCTCTGCACTATAATGATCTCATAGTTCTTGCGCCTTAGAGATGAAACTCAAGTTTTAAGGAACTATATATATTGTCTTAAATAGAAAACAAGAGTAACTTTATGTGTGAAATATAAAATGTTTTGGAACGTATAATTGTTGTATTCTAAAATATTGAATAAACTGTAAGATTGTGTGATTGAACTCATTTTTCATTTTGATGTTTCTAAACAGGGAATCAAAATTCCGCGTTTTAAGATAAGGTCTGTATGCACATAACATAACATATACTATACCGTTCATTAAAAGCATTTATCAAAGTGTCACCGAATGCATAACAGCTATACTTATAACATCCCATCGTATGAGATTATTAATATTTAATAAAATAACATATAATATAGAAACCAACCCACCAAAGTAGAACCTCTCGACCCAACAAGCTTAGCTTTTGTCCTTTGCATGCACGACATGAAAAAGAAGATCGCGTTACGTACACAAACACGCCGGAGATGTGTCCTTCCCAAATCCATACGTTCATATTGGCAATACACTCCGGAGTTTTTTTTTTTTTTTTTTTTTTTACAATTTGGGGACTGTGAGGGCAAAAGTCCCGAGAGGAAGAGGGAGACAAGTGAAAAGTCAGGTTGTCTTGTCATCTTCAGTACAGTAGGAACCCACACTTGTCAACTTTCACACTCTTCGCCTCACGCTTAATATGAGAGAGCTCCTCCCTATATAATTTGTTACCTCTTTTCCACCCCCTCTCTCTCTCAAAACACTCTAAGATCACCGGGAGAGAGAGAGTCTCTCCGGCGAGAAAATGGTCGGGAAACAGTCGGGTACGACTAGGGTTTGGAAGATTCGATCATGGGGCTGGTGTTCGAAGATGGTGAAGGAGCAAAGAACACGTCTGTACATCATTTGGAGATGCACCGTTATTCTCTTACGTTGGGACGACTGACCGATGAATGGAGGTCAAATCGACAACATATATGTATACACCAATATAGTACGTAGTTATAGCAGCTGTTTGGTTCTGGCATCTGTGTAAATCCGACATGAAGGTGTTTTTCTTAGTAGATTCTCAAGTGGGTTTGAAGTGTGTGTGTGTGTGTTATATTAGACCATGAATGGTAATGAATCGCCTAATTCCCAATGCAGATCTGTGAACGACTAGACAACTTTTATTGAGACATAAATCTGTGGAGTAATAATTAAATCACAAAAGTGTATGTATCTGTGTATAGCATGTAATATTTCCAACAGAACCCATCTTCCAGAATTTGGACCAACCCAAATCCCTAGTGACAACGGAATAATGGCTAGAACACGACCTGCTCGAAGATCGATCTTGGTTTCTGCCCCTTTTTCCTTCTTTCTCAGCACAAGAGAACGAAAATACGATCGCCTCTTGTCTGGAGCAAGAACGTACAACCGAAACCATCAGTTTTTCTTCTGAAGAGGCTCGGTAATCGTCACGTGCGGTTTCCTGGATTCGGAATCTTGTTCGGGACCTGATGCCTTTGGTTTAAGCGCTTGTTTACTTTGTCCTCCCTGGGAAACAACGACACAGCAGATTCTTATCTCTAGGGATCTCTCACTTTGTCAGAAGGAGAACAAAGATTCTGCTTTCTTTTGGGTTCCTTACTTGTATAAACGACCCAAGCAATAGATACAATGTTACTTACAGGGCCCTTTTGACCGGTTAATCTCCGACTTGACGGAGCCCGAGCTATTGACGAGGCAGCAGCCGCAGCTGCCACACGAATCCTGCAAAAGAAGATCGTTGCTTGCTTCGAAACAGGGTAATGGTTGGAGGCAACACTAAGTATACAAGACACAGAAAACAGTACCTTTTATGTACATCGACGTACTCATCCGTTTCATCCACTATCTCCTCCTGTACAGACATGGATTTTTTTTTAATGTAGATTAATGTTAATGGTTTCAAATGGAAACACTTGGAAAGAAAGTAGAAGGTACCTGAAGAAGTTCTTCGAAAACGTCTTCCAGAGTGATGATACCAATAACTTCACCATCTTCGATGTCTTCTGAAGCATGTGATGGGTACCCATTTGTTCCCGTCTCGTTGTTTCGCAAAGGAGATTGTTTGTTGATCTTATCGATGTTGACGACGACATCCTCCTTCGATATCAAGGGTGTAGTCAGTTGGGATTCATCGGTCATCGCATTACTCTCCTCGGGTTTTTCTTCAACCACTGTCGAAGGGGGAACTTTGGTTTTCCCCTTAACCTTCACAACTGCTGCCATGTGACTACTTCCCTTTTGAAACTCATTCAGTATATCATACAGAGGCATATCAGCCGGAACCCTGTTGCACGATTTAAACATTAGGTATCATAACCTTGCTGAATTTGTAAAAAAGGAAAAGCATTAACATATTTAGCGGAAAACACCTTGGGATTCTGCGGATAGATACTGCACTGACAGGGGTGTCTGTTTCTGGGCGAACTGTAAGAAGACTCTTTACCTAATGACAAGCAAAAGAGAAACGCATCATCAGAGTAACAAAGCATGTGATGAATACACAATTAAACATTAAAAAAAAAAATAAGTCCCCGGAGAGTCGGTGCCTACCAAAAGAAGTCCAATGATATTTTTTGGATTCCCGGAATAGACAGGCACTCGGCTGTGACCTCGTGCTAGGATCTTCCCCATAGCCTCCCTAAGCAGGCAAAGCAGAATAAAGATACATAAAGTCAAATTTTCTCCAAGAATTCACTAAAAAGTCATGATCAGATTCTCAGAAGCTAACTCACCAATCCAACTTTGAATTGACATCTAAGGAAAACGTTGATTCAATCGGTGTCATGGCTTCCTGTGCAGTCTGTCAAACCAAATCCAACTTTTCATGAATATTTCCACCATTTCCATAAAGATCAAACAGCAACTCAGTCATGATATCAAGACATAGTGACAAAAGCCTAAAAACAGAATTTTATATATATACCTTTTCTGTCAAATCCAGTGCTCCACTTATGATCGTTGTCTCATCATGTGTAAGTTCACCTCCCTTACCAGCCTAAAATGACAGTTGTTTTACGACAAGTTAGCAAAATTAGTATCTCTTAGATGCAGTAAAAGAAGTAAATAGCATGTTCTTCAAGGTTTCTCTTACCTCTTGGCTGTGAATCGATACAAGAGCTTTCAACTGAGCCCGCCTAAACAAAGCTTCGTTGTGGCCCAGCACCCAATCCAAGATCTATCCACAACATCAGAAATTTAGAGAACAGAAAAGAAACCAAACAAAAAAAGAAAAGAAAAGCAAGAGGAGAATCCTGAAATGAGGAACTCATCATGTGCAAAAAGGGACAATAATATGAGCGCATTGTCTCATAATTCTGGGGAAGAATATATTCCTTTTTTTCTTTTATTGGTATGTAATTCAGGGAAGAATAGTTGCAGAAAACAGCAAAGAAGAGATCCATCAAAATCTAAACAGATGGGATCACGACACACAGAGAAGGAGAATCTAAGAACAAGATAAACCAAATACACAGTCCAATGCTGTCCTTGATATCTCGTCCATTAGATAGAACCATTACAAAAAAAGAACTTTTAAACAAAGAAACGAATATTCAGGAGCAGAAAAAACTTATTTCCGAATCAACTTAAAACAAACAGCTTCAAGTTGCAGCACATGTTCTGTAGCCATGACAATATTCTTGACTAGATACTCGAAGATTTACCTTTCCGATGGGATAAGCTATCGGGTAGCAGATAACCATCAAGATCCGGACAAGCCAGACAAAGTTTGCTCCAACAGCAAGTCCATACCTGGTGCATATAGCTTGAGGAATAACCTTAAAAGACAGAATCCACAACAGCCAAATCAGTGAAAGCCATAATGTGAGTAAAGGTTAGAACAGCGGAAACATGAGGTCGGAAAATCGTACCTCACCGAAGAATAGAACGAAAGTGACTGAAAGGATTATAGCAACATATTCATTGAATAGCTTATCCAAGTATATAGGAAGTCCCTGCAGATTACCATGATCATGTAAGAAATCAAGCTTGTCTCAATTCAACCAGAGAAATCTTCTTGTCTCAATCTAAACCCTTTAATTCGAAGAACCAATTGATAGTTCCCTCCTTGCATCGAACAGCAATGTCATAGAATCAACAGATTGAAGTTTTGACATTACCTCCATTGCAGCAGCATTGCAGAGAAGCAGTGTCACCAAAAGCTGATGCTGCTTTTGAACAACCGGAAGAATAGCAGCTGAATGATTCACGAGGAAATTTCCCCAACGAAGAACAAAAGGGCATAAAAAAGTTCAAAATTTTTCAACCGAATCATGATCATCCACATCAAAAGGGACCGAAACGACGGAATTCCAAAAGTTAAGGAACACCAAACGATCGAATTGATAGTGAAACGGGAAGAAAAGATGAATCACCAGCTTGTTTCTTCTCACTGGGGGTGCCGCTACGTTGGAGAATCTCGAGGTCGACGAGACCAAGGGACATCAAACCCAGAGTGAGTCCGGACATGATTCCGGCGAAGAGGATGAGGAAGCAAGAGATTCCGGCGTAGATGAACCACCACAACGACCCGAACGGGATAGCTTCTCCGTCGCTGTTCGGGTGGCCGACAGCGGCTAACATCCTCCCCGCCGCCACCGCATTTATCAGATGCATCTTCGATTCGATTCCAACTTTTTGATAATTTTTCGACTGGAGACGAAAACAGTGAAAAGAAAAAGACGATGATTGTACTACGTTGAAAATCTCTCTCCGTGCATTTCTCGTCGGTATATATATTTTTTAATTCGTTGATTTTTTTTTTGGTTCTATGTATTAATAAATAATAATTTATTAATAATTTTAGTGGCGATTTTTTTAAAACCTTTTTAGAGATTGTTAATTATTTGATATTATTCTAGATTTTGGAGTAAATAAAAGGGAAATCATTTGTCAAAATTTTCTAAAAACCTAAACCTTAATTTTTGTCTTCTAAAATCCAAACTTTGATATTATTAAATAAATCTGAATTTAAACATGACATGACAATTTATAAATTCAATTTTAAAAGGAGATTATATCAAAAATACTTTTATTTTATTATTTTTATTTCAACACATATCTTTCTTCAACTTTGATCATATGATCCATATGATCCAAAATATAGTGTGGTCACATTTTGATTTTATTGATTATAACGTTAAATTTATAGTGATCTCACTAATTCATTATATTCATATCTGATATATCTTACTAATTATTTCATTAAAACATTATAAATTTAATGTTATGAGTAATGAGCTCAATATATGACCATACTATATTTCAGGTTATATGGATCACATGATCACATATAAAAAATGATATGTATTGAAGTAAGAATAGTAAAATAGAGGTATTTTTGATAATGTTTAAAAGACAAAAAAATAAAATTGAGATTTTTTAGCAAATTTTGCCAAATTGATGTATTAATCATCTAATTTTCCTAAATAAATAAAAATTGGAAACAACTGACTTTTCGGACGCCGGAGTGTGTTTTGATCCATTGTGGTATTTTATATACTATTCAAATTAGGTCAAATCAGATTTTTATTAAAAACGTATTTATATATTTTTTAATATTATCTCCATTAAATTTTTAATATAAATGTATGGTAAAACTGTCCAAAAAACTCTTTTAACCCTTCATACCTCGATAAAAAAACTTTATACTTTTTTTTTCACAAAAAACTTATATTTATATTTATTCACCGAAATATATATATATTTTTCAAATATCAGATAAAAAAATTCTATATTTTTTTATTACCAAACAAACTTTTTACTTATATTTATTTACCGAAATTTACATATATTTTATAAATTCCACTAAATAAACCCCTAAATGTAAACAAGAAAAATACAGTAAAAAATCTATCCGAACCTAACTCAACCGATATATATTCGAACCGAATCAAATCGATTAAAATAATATACCAGATTGGATATGAATATTTCAAATCGAAAATAATCAAATCCGAAATAACTGTAAAGCGAATAAACTAAACTCGAATTAACCGTAACCGAATATAATCATTTATATACCTATATGTCATCAATTAATATCTAATATATTCTAAATTTAATTAGAAAAAATAATATAATAATATTGGATTCACTCGAATTTGAAATATTCATATCTAATCTGATATATTATTTTTTATCGTATTTTTTTGGTTTTTGTATTTAAAGACTTATTTGCTAAAATTTAGAAAGTACAAACAAATAAATATAAATATAGAATTTGAATATAAAAAAAATGTAGGATTACAAATATATTTCGATAAATAAAAATAAGTATAGAGTTTTTTTATAATAAAAACAAATATAAGGTTTTTTTTCGACATGTGAGAGAGAAGTACAACATTTTTTGAGCAATTTTTTCTAAATTTATTGATTGGATATGCATTTATAAAAAATAGTACCAACCAACAAATATAAATAAAATTAAAAAAATTGGACTCAAGGAGAGTTCCAAAGAAGAGATTTCCAACAAGTAGACAATGTTTGACTGATCTAAGCATTTGTTGTATACTTCATGCTGCAAAAACTCTAAACAAAAATCAAATCACCTCAAGAGTGAGAACATTATATTAAACCATCATCCCAAATAAAAATGTGAATCCAAAACCCTCCCCCAAATATTAATATTACATCATCTTCCTCCTCCTCCATGTCCAACTGGAAAGAACACCCAGATTGAAACTGGCTGGCATGGAAGAAGACAACAAGTGATGCCAGTGATGCAGCTACAAGCCTAAGATGACGAGTAGTTCAGTAAAGCAACTACCTCGGGATGGTGTTTGGTAAGTTACTCCGAGTCTTTTTGCTTTTTCGAAGCAGGCCCGTCTTCCCTCTGCTTCTTCTTGGCCTCTCTCCGTTCTCTCTTCACTCCTTTGGCCTTGTTAGGCAATACCATTTCTCCAAGCTGATATACATAAGGAGCCAACAAGATTAACAGGAAAGCTTGGATATCGGTTTTAGGGGTAAACCCAAAAAACAGGAAAAAGGTTTTGTGTCAGTGGTTCCTGATGGAGAATAATTCTCTTACCTTCTGATCAGGAATATAAATCTTCCCAATCTTTCCTTGTACTGCATCTTGACTGACATTTTATTTATGAATGTTTTTTCTGAAGAAACGTTTAACCAGAACAAACACTTACATAAGATAAAAACGTCGGAAGCACATGACCCATGATCTTATTATATTGCGACGATAAATTCATGACATACATTTTTACACAAACATTACAGACAAAGCTTCATAACAATGGCTGGCAACACATTCAGACAAAAACACACATCATAAGCTCATGGGTCTGATCTGTTTCAGCAACCACCTTGTTCTTCACTTGACATGGATGGAGAAGAAAAGGAGTACAAAGCCTATTATAAACCTTCTTCTTAGGCTTATCTTTAGCAGTTTTCATGGCTTCTTTCATTAAGCTTTCGTTAGGAAGGCGATGGCGACGGACAACCAAGTCCATGGATGGACCGACTTCTACAAGTTCCATCCTAGGTACAATGGTTCCTGACTTTTTGAGCCTCAGCGCGCAATGAGTAAGGAAAACCCTGTTTGGAGATACAGCTGTACATATGTAAGCACGATCTATTCCAGCGAGGTTCAGATTCTCCACGACCTGCAAACAAAAAAGTTCAATACTACTTTCAAATTCTGCCAATACAGAAGATCCATTAAAACTTGGATTAACCCCACAAAATCAAATGATTCTGATTTATGCAAAAACATGGCTCAACTCTAGGAGGTTTATAATATAAAACAAAAAAGATATGGCATGTCAAGAAAATACTTACCTCTCCTCGAAACAGGTCAAGCAAGACTTCTTTTAGATGTTTCAGCTCTTGTACATTCTCAAATCCTTCTCCCATAAAGCAAATGAAAGGCTTTGATCCTTCGTGAGGAGCTATCTTCTTATCGTAAGTAAAAGACTGCAACGACTTAAAGTTCTCTACCCCAACTTCGATAAGATCGTAGATATGGTGATCATACATTCTCCCAAGTACAAGATTGTCAGGTCGTTTCTTCGAGTGAGAACCATACTACAAAAAAAACATTCCAGATTTCAGGAAACACAATCGGCTAAAAAGTGAAAAATAATTTCCGAATAATCTTCCATCAGCACATCAAGTTGGCTAACAGCAAAATATAGTCTATGAATCCAGATAAACACTAGAGTTTATGCGAAAACTACAATGTTTAGCAATTGATACCCAGAATTCACACTCTAGAATTATACTGATTTCGCAACAGGTAAGACTATCTCAAAAATAACATCATTAACAAAAAACATTACCACGAAGATGCTGCAATCGGTTTTCTGGGAGAAGAACTCCAAAGAGGTTTCGCCTCCGGCCTCGAAGGGCCTGATATTCTCATTCTTCCTTGAGTATTTCACAGCACCTCCCTTCTTCAGATGGTACAGTTCCATCAATACGGCATTCAGCGTAGCACTCGTCTTCGTCCCATGAAGTATCAACGTTTTCTTCCCAGTTTCAACCTGCAAATCGGAAAAAAAAATTGAGCATTAGTACATTCAAACAGCAATAATTTTGCAGTTTTTTTAACGATACTCTCACTTTTTGGTTACATATTCCGAGAAATATACAATCAAGCAATCGCAGGTAAACCCAACAAGTAATTCGAGCAGAAAACTACTAAAATCAGCAAAAATTTGCAGCTTGAATGAGATTCAATCTTCTCCACTAGGGTTTCGAGTTTAGTTTTCAGTTCTTAAAATCTGGAAACTTTCCCGAGAACCAAACAACTAATCAAACGCATGGATGAACCAATAACGGAACTTACGAGCTTAGGCGCGCGCTTCTCGACTTCCCGTTTGCCTTTGCCCGACTTCGGCGTTTGAATCTTCAACATGATTAACCGAACAACCCTGCAACTTCCACAGGCGACGGCTCCGAGTGCAGAAAAACGAACACGAAGTGGGCTCTCTAGTTTAGGGTTTTAAAGTTTCAGCCTTTAACCCAAATGAAAGTATAAAAATGAAGAGAATTGTAGTGCGACCCTTGTATTATAAGAATATTTCTATTTCCTCCCCATTATCTTGTTCTGTCACTTAAGGCCCCCAAGTGAATTTATCGCTTAGCAAGTTGTTCGTGGACAATAATATCACAAACAATATGAGCGAAAACATTAAGAGTAAAGGCAAAAGGACAAACAAAATACAAGTTCACGTTTCAAGATCCTTTGTCCATCTTCAATTCTTTCTCTATTCCATGGAATATAGATAAGAGTTAGATTATATATATATCATTATCAACTTCTCTATTTCTGTCATAAGAATAACACATCGGTGAGAGAGATATTTGGGACCAATATATAAAGAGGTTAAACCTCTACTCTTAAATTAGCTTTTATGGTGGAGTTAGGGTTCAAACTATATCTATTGGTATAACAATCTGTTTCTCTTCACACCGGTGGGTCTCTAGAAAACCGTTCTCCTATGAGCATGCGGTCAGACTCGGCCAGAGAAGAATGATCGGGGTGTGATCAAATTTGTCCAACGCTGTGGTCGTCACTGTCTAAAAAGGATAATATTGATAAGAGTCTCATATCAATGACAGAGGAGAATTTGAAACCAATATATAAAGAGAGTTAAACCTCAATGGTTAATGTATCTCAACTCTTAACCTACCTTTTATGGTGTAAGGACCCAAACTATATCATTCTGATATATGTTGGGACTATATCATTCTTTTATGGTGTAAGGACCCAAAATTATATATATATATATATATGATCTAAGCCTATGTAGGAACTATATTTATGAATGTTTTTTCTGAAGAAACGTTTAACCAGAACAAACACTTACATAAGATAAAAACGTCGGAAGCACATGACCCATGATCTTATTATATTGCGACGATAAATTCATGACATACATTTTTACACAAACATTACAGACAAAGCTTCATAACAATGGCTGGCAACACATTCAGACAAAAACACACATCATAAGCTCATGGGTCTGATCTGTTTCAGCAACCACCTTGTTCTTCACTTGACATGGATGAGAGACCATTCCAACATGTCCTTGTGAGCTTCCTCTGCAGCTTTCACTGCTGATTCATCATCCGGATCGTACCTAATGCCCCACCCATGCGAGACATTCTCGTATATCTTCACATGGCTCTTGACCTATCACCATTTCTCCATTTCAGAAAGCAATACAGAACTGTGTCCATTATCGTTTCCCTTTCTTCTCTTTCCAGCTTCACAGCAAAGAGTTTTAGGTCGAAAATATCGGATCAGACGAAAAGCATACCTCAGGTTTAGAAGCAAGAACTTGTTCGAATTGCTTCAAGAGTTCGGGTGGGGATGTACGGTCGTTCTCAGCTCCTAATACAGCAATCGGAGCCTTGACCTCTGCAAAAAAGATGTCAACTTTAGTGTGGGGAAACCGAGAAATCTGTGGATATGGGAAGAAACGGAATCACTCACCTTTGATATCATCAACCGTGACGAAAGAAGGATGAAGCAAAACAGCAGCTTGAATAAGCTCATTCTTTGCCATTTCAACCACTACCTTTCCTGAAGAATACCGCACGAATATTACATTACTTTCTTCCATTGTTTCAGTATCAATAAGAAAGCGTCAAACTTTTACACAACTGCATATTTTGGAAGGTATACCATCAAGAAGAACAAACAAACTCACCTCCGAAACAGGCACCTGCAGCCCCAACTGCACTTATGCCTTTGCTCTTTAAGGCTTCAATTAATGGCTTTGAGTCCTCAAAGCCTTTGTCCTAAAAGCATAATTTTATCTGTTTCAGATAGAAACAAAGAATCTGACAGACACGACAGGAACACTTCATGAGAAAGAGCAACTGACTGGTTCGTGATCTTTCAACCAGACATGAAGAGGCCGGTCCTGGTTCTCGGGTTCATAAGGATCTCCTTTCAAGAAGTCGGGAACAACCACTAAAAACCCGGCAGCTGCAATCTTGTCAGCGAGGTTCCTTTCGTAATAAAGGAAAAGAAAGATTCAGTTTTCAAAAAATACTCTGCATTATTTTCAGTGTCATGAGAAGGGAGACTCAATCAGGTAAGAAGTAATACCTCAAGTTCGGAGCTTCATATCCTGTGAGAAAAATTTGAAGATGAAATGTTTAGAACATTATGATGAAAAGATCATTAATTCAAAGGAACAAACAAATCCGGCAAGATTAAGAGACCGAAACATGATCTTCCGACATTACTTAAACATCAAGCAAACAGCCCTAGACAAAGTGATTCATGGTCTAAAAATCAAAACTAAAGCAACAGTTATGAAGATTCAAGATAAGAGTTACCGAAAACATCAGAGAAAAGAACAATGCCGAGCTTGGAATCGGGGGATCCAGACACGTAAGCATCAAGGCCACCGAGCTTCTCGACCCGACCAGACCCGGAACTCGGGTTAAGGGTCGGTCGGTTTTCGCAGCACTGAGGACCAAACGCCATTGTCGATTCTTCTCAGAGAGGAGAGGATTCACCACACAACACAAGACCACGATTTGCTCCGTTCTTCTCAGTGTATAAATAGGGTTTATGATCGTCACTGTGCAATGCCAATTCATCTGCAAGAATCTATCTTCAACAGTATGCAAAATCTTGATTCATGGTGGAGAGATCTTCGTTATCCAAATCGCTGGGTGGCACATAGACCTGTTTCCGGCAAGACACTGCATGGAGTGACTTGATCGGAATCTCAGACAGTGTTTCTAGATTTTTTTTCCATATAAGAGGTTATGAAGATCCGACAGGTCTTTTCCCAGTTCTATTGGGCTATTTGAACGCAATCATGCAACAAAGAACCTGAGATGTTTTCTTTTTCAGGAAACTGTTGTAAATAGCTCTTTCTTTCTAACAAAACGTAAACTTCTTTCTTGATCAGAGGTTTCGAGAATCCGAAATGACTTTTTACCAGTGATATCCCACAACAGCTCATGCCTTCCGTGGAATACATATTTCTCGTCCAAACCCTCTAAACCACAAAGAGCATCTTTTCTTAATGCATTACAGTAGCAATTTCTATCATATTCATCTACTAATTCATCAGTTTCAATACACCAGATTTGGTTTAAGCCCATTTGCGGGTTTAAAAATGCTACGGATAACGTTGATGAATGCAGAAACGATGTTAATCGTGATATAGCAATTCAAGATCAATCAGAACTCGACTCACCCTTGTGCATGTTGCTTCTGGTTGGTTCTGCAATGACAAGAACATATCAGGTCTAGCAGCAACCAGCAAGTTTATATTACCAGGTTTATGTTATGGTCCCGGGTTATGGATCTTGTTATGGGTCTAGGGAATAGGAAATCGATGGATGTTTCGATGATTCCGCTGAGTTTTTTCTTCTTACGACCTATGATTACTGTAATTCAGGCTTAGAAGAGGGAAACTAATAACCTCTCGAGACTAAGTGCTCAAAGACTGAATTGGATTTTCCAGATATCCCTTTTCATTCAGTTAGTATTTAAAAGTACACAAACGTAAGGAAAATAACTTCTAATAATAACAAGGCCCCCCCCCCCCCCCCCCTACAGAGAAACGGAATACAAAGCTGGAAGAAAAATGCAGAACATAAAAATAAAAGAAACTTCGTTTAACACCGAGATCAAATACAATAGGATCTAGAGAGCTTTCAGTAAGAGATACATTACCGAGCATTCTTGATGGAGAGCATAAAAAACAGAATTTTGTTTCATTCAAATCCAACGAGTTTCTTTTTCGCATTTGGTTTCACTCTAGTCTTTAGCCAAGGTCATATTCCTGCACCAAAAGGCTTAAGGAAGCATAGATATTAATGGAATGGAGGTGGTAAGGTAGCATTTTTTACTAACTCTAGTTATAAGCAGATGCTAAATTGGTATGTACATTTCTGTGTAAATATATACTTTTTTGGTATGAAAGAAACGTTATCTCGGCTTACATGGTAACGGGAATGGCAAGACTCAGATATACCAAAAGCACAGATAACTCTTACCCTCGATATCATCAACCGAGACAAAAAGGAAGGATGAAGAAAAACACCTGCTTGCTTGATGATAAATGTTCCTGCGAAATTTTCATCCACGAGATCATGATAATGCGTTCTTATATAGATGCCGAGCAACGGAGGGTAAGATTTATCGATGCTTTTGATGGATATAAGAATGCATTATCACTTATCAGTAACTCGTGGATGAAAATTTCACAGGTAAAAAATACTATTTTAAAAGACCTATTCTGAAGAGTGTAAAGAATAAAGGATCAGTTGCCTAGGAGATTAAACATTTTCCAGCAAACAGATCCCAGATATGATATGATGCATAAGAAACATCCATGATTCATTCTCCAGTGGAAGTATAAAAAAAAGGACAAATATATTACAACCTAGTCCAAGACACAGAGGATATGCTTCACCTCTTGTACAAATCCAAAACCAAATCAATATAAGCTTGTAACCGATCTAAGAAAATTTCCAAAGTGATGGCTCAGACTGTAGTTTAGCAGAGAGAAACCCATTCCCATTATAGTTTCCCAATATAAGCTACTCATATCAAGTTTGCCAATAGAATCATAGCCAAATCGATTAGAAGCAATGAGTTGATAATGAAAAGATTCATCACAGATAAAATTTTCTCGTCATAGCCATCACCAAGAGAACATGTGATACAAACTCCAAGAGACGAGCCAGCAACTCACTCAACTAGATAGTCCCTTTTACAGGTCAGAGGCCTTCTTCCCTTTTAGATGTCCTGCAAATTGGGGGAAAAAAATTGAGCATTGGCAGATTCAATCAGCAACAATTTTGCAGTTTTTTTTACGATACTCTCACTTTTTGGATACATTTTCCGAGAAATATACAATCAAGCCATCGCAGGTAAACCCAACAAGCAATTAGAGCCGAAACCTACTAAATCAGCAAAAAAAGGCAGCTTGAATGAGATTCAATCTTCTCCACTAGGGTTGCAAGTCTAGTTTTCACTGCTTAAAATCTCGAAACTTTCCCGAGAAACAAACAACGAATCAAACGCATGGATGAACCAATAGCCAAACTTGCGAGCTTAGGCGCGCGCTTCTCGACTTCCCGTTTGCCTTTTCCCGACTTCGGTGTTTGAATCTTCAACATGATTAACCGATCAACCCTGCAACTTACAGGCACGGCTCCGAGTGAAGAAAAACGAACACGAAATGGGCTATCTAGTTTAGGGTTTAATAGTTTCAGTTTTTAACCCCAAATGAAGTATAAAAATGAAGAGAATTGTAATGCGACCCTCGTGTTATAAAAATGTTTCTATTTGCTCCCCATTATCTTATTGTGTCACTTAAGGACCCAAAGTGATTTTATCGCTTAGCAAGTTGTCCGTGGACAATAATACCATAAACAATATGAGCTGAAAACATTAAGAGTGAAGGAAAAAGGACAAACAAAACACAAGTTCACGTTTCAAGATCCTTTGTCCGGACAATACACATAGATCTTCAATTCTTTCTCTATTCCATGGAGTATAGATAAGAGTTAGATTATATATATATATATATATCAATTGGTATAACAATATGCTTCTCTTCACACCGGTGGGTCTCTGGAAAACCATTCTCCTATGAGTATGCGGTCGACTCGACCGGAGAGGAATGATCGGGGTGTGATCAAATTTGTCCTAACGTTGTGGTCGTCGTTGTCTAAAGGTGTAATTAGGACCCAAACTATATCATTCTGATATATGTTGGACATGTGTTGGGCCTGTGATAAAGTTATATATATATATATATATATATAATCTAAGCCTATGTAGGAACTATATTTATGAATGTTTTTTCTGAAGAAACGTTTAACCAGAGCACATGTACATAGGATAAAAACGTCGGAAGCACATGACCCATGATCTTATTATATTGCGACGATACATTCATGACATACATTTTTACACAAACATTACAGACAAAGCTTCATAACAATGGCTGGCAACACATTCAGACAAAAACACACATCACACGCTCATGAGTCTGATCTGTTTCTGCAACCACCTTGTTCTTCACTTGACATGGATGAGAGACCATTCCAACATGTCCTTGTGAGCTTCTTCTGCAGCTTTCACTGCTGATTCATCATCCGGATCGTACCTAATGCCCCACCCATGCGAGACATTCTCATATATCTTCACATGGCTCTTGACCTATCACCATTTCTCCATTTCAGAAAGCAATACAGAACTATGTGTCCATTATCGTTTCCCTTTCTTCTCTTTTCAGCTTCACAGCAAAGAGTTTTAAGTTGAAAATATCGGATCAGACGAAAAGCATACCTCGGGTTTAAAAGCAAGAACTTGTTCGAATTGCTTCAAGAGTTCGGGTGGCGACGTACGGTCATTCTCAGCTCCTAATACAGCAATCGGAGCCTTGAACTCTGCAAAAAAGATGTCAACTTTAGTGTGGGGAAACCGAGAAATCTGTGGATATGGGAAGAAACGGAATCACTCACCTTTGATATCATCAACCGTGACGAAAGAAGGATGAAGCAAAACAGCAGCTTGAATGAGCTCATTCTTTGCCATTTCAACCACTACCTTTCCTGAAGAACACCGCACGAATATTATATTACTTTCTTCCATTGTTTCAGTATCAATAAGAAAGCGTCAAACTTTTACACAACTGCATATTTTGGAAGGTATACCATCAAGAAGAACAAACAAACTCACCTCCGAAACAGGCACCTGCAGCCCCAACTGCAGTTATGCCTTTGCTCTTTAAGGCTTCAATTAATGGCTTTGAGTCCTCAAAGCCTTTGTCCTAAAAGCATAATTTTATCTGTTTCAGATAGAAACAAAGAATCTGACAGACAAGACAGGAACACTTCATGAGAAAGAGCAACTGACTGGTTCGTGATCTTTCAACCAGACATGAAGAGGCCGGTCCTGGTTCTCGGGTTCATAAGGATCTCCTTTCAAGAAGTCGGGAACAACCACTAAAAACCCGGCAGCTGCAATCTTGTCAGCGAGGTTCCTTTCGTAATAAACGAAAAGAAAGATTCAGTTTTCAAAAAATACTCTGCATTATTTTCAGTGTCATGAGAAGGGAGACTCAATCAGGTAACAAGTAATACCTCAAGTTCGGAGCTTCATATCCTGTGAGAAAAATTTGAAGATGAAAGGTTTAGAATATTATGATGAAAAGATCATTAGTTCAAAGGAACAAACAAATCCGGCAAGATTAAGAGACCGAAACATGATCTTCCGACATTACTTGAACATCAAGCAAACAGCCCTAGACAAAGTGATTCATGGTCTAAAAATCAAAACTAAAGCAACAGTTATGAAGATTCAAGAAAAGAGTTACCGAAAACATCAGAGAAAAGAACAATGCCGAGCTTGGAATCGGGGGATCCAGACACGTAAGCGTCAAGGCCACCGAGCTTCTCGACCCGACCAGACCCGGAACTCGGGTTAAGGGTCGGTCGGTTTTCGCAGCACTGAGCACCAAACGCCATTGCCTATTCTTCTCAGAGAGGAGAGGATTCACCATAAAACACAAGACCACGATTTGCTCCGTTCTTCTAAGTGTATAAATAGGGTTTATGATGGTCACTGTGCAATGCCAATTCATCTGAAAGAATCTATCTTAAACAGTATGCAAAATCTTGATTCATGGTCGAGAGATCTTCGTTATCCAAATCGCTGGGTGGCACATAGGCCTGTTTCCGGCAAGACACTGCATGGAGTGACTTGATCGGAATCTCAGACAGTGTTTCTAGATTTTTTTTCCCATATAAGAGGTTATGAAGATCCGACAGGTTTTTCCCAGTTCTATTGGGCTATTTGAACGTAATCATGCAACAAAGAACCTGAGATGTTTTCTTTTTCAGGAAACTGTTCTAAATAACTCTTTCTTTCTAACAACACATAAACTTCTTTCTTGATCAGAGGTTTTGAGAATCCGATATGACTTTTTACCAGTGATATCCCACAACAGCTCATGCCTTCCGTGGAATACATATTTCTCGTCCAAACCCTCTAAACCACAAAGAGCCTCCTTTCTTAATGCATTACAGTAGCAATTTCTCTCACAGTCATCTACTAATTCATCAGTTTCAATACACCAGGTTTGGTTTAAGTCCATTTGCGGGTTTAAAAACGTTACGGATAACATTGATGAATGCAGAACCGACGTTAATCGTGATATAGCGCAGTGGCAAGAACGTATCAGGTCTACCAGCAACCAGCAAGTTTATATTACCAGGTTTATGTTATGGTCCCGGGTTATGGATCTCGTTATGGGTCTAGGGGATAGGAAATCGATGGGTGTTTGGATGATTTGGCTGAGTTTTTTCTTCTTACGACCTATGATTACTGTAATTCAGGCTTAGAAGAGGGAACCTAATAACCTCTCGAGACTAAGTGCTCAAAGACTGAATTGGATTTTCTAGATATCCCTTTCCATTCAGTTTTTAGTATTTAAAAGTACACAAACGTAAGGAAAATAACTTCTAATAACAACAAGGAAATAAAACTACCCAAGTCCCCCCCCCCCTCCACAAAGAAACGGAATACAAAGCTGGAAGAAACATGCAAAACATAAAAATAAAAGAAACTTCGTTTAACACCGAGATCAAATACAATAGGATCTAGAGAGCTTTCGGTAAGAGATACATTACCGAGCATTCTTGATGGAGAACATATATAAACAGAATTTTGTTTCATTCAAATCCAACGAGTCATTTTTTCGCATTTGGCTTCAATCTGGTCTTTAGCCAAGGCCATATTCCTGCCTGCACCAAAAGGCTTAAGGAAGCATAGATATCAATGGAATGGAAGTGGTAGGTAGCATTTTTTACCAACTCTAGTTATAAGCAGATGCTAAATTGGTATGTACATTTCGGTGTAAATATATACTTTTTTGGTATGAAAAAAAAACGTTATCTCGGCTTATGAGGTAATGGGAATGGCAAGGATCAGATAGATCAAAAGCATTGATAATTCTTACCCTCGATATCATCAACCGAGACAAAAAGGAAGGATGAAGAAAAACACCTGCTTGCTTGATGATAAATGTTCCTGTGAAATTTTCATCCACGAGATCACGATGATGCGTTCTTATATAGATGCCGTGCAATGGAGGGTAAGATTTATCGATGTAAAGAATGAAGGATCAGTTGCCCAGGAGATTAAACATTTTCCAGTACACAAGAAACATCCATGATTCATTCTCCAGAGGAAGTTTAAAAGAAAGACAAATATATTACAACCTAGTCCAACACACAGAGGATATGCTTCACCTCTTGTACAAATCCAAAACCAAATCAATATAAGCTTCTAAACCGATCTAAGAGAATTTCCAAAGTGATAGCTTAGACTGTAGTTTAGCAGAGAGAATCCCATTCCCATTATAGTTTCCCCATATATGCTACTCATCGATATATCAAGTTTGCCAATAGAATCATGGCCAAATCCATTAGAAGCAATGAGGTTGATAATGAAAAGATTCATCACATAGACAGAAATTCCTCGTCTTAGCCATTACCAAGAGAACATGTGATACAAACTCCAAGAGACGAGCAAGCAACTCATTCAACTAGATAGTCCCTTTTAGAGGTCAGAGGCCTTCTTCCCTATTAGATGTCCTGCAAATTGGAAAAAAAAAAAAATTGAGCATTGGCAGATTCAATCAGCAACAATTTAGCAGTTTTTTTTTTAGGATACTCTCACTTTTTGGATACATTTTCCGGGAAATATACAATCAAGCAATCGCAGGTAAACCCAACAAGCAATTAGAGCAGAAACCTACTAAATCAGCAAAAAACGCAGCTTGAATGAGATTCAATCTTCTCCACTAGGGTTGCAAGTCTAGTTTTCACTGCTTAAAATCTCGAAACTTTCCCGAGAAACAAACAACGAATCAAACGCATGGATGAACCAATAACCAAACTTGCGAGCTTAGGCGCGCGCTTCTCGACTTCCCGTTTGCCTTTTCCCGACTTCGGCGTTTGAATCTTCAACATGATTAACCGATCAACCCTGCAACTTCCGCAGGGGAATATTACTCAAATAACCCACTTGGGTCGCAGCAATTTCAGTGTACACCACCGAAAAAAAAAAAAAATTTGCGACCTTATTACGACTAATATATAACTAATATACAACATATATACGACGCAAAACTACTCTTATTTTAGTTGTATATTAGTTATATATTAGTCGTAATAAGGTCACAAATTTTTTTTTTTTTTTCGGTGGTGTACCCTGAAATTGCTGCGACCCAAGTGGGTTATTAGGGTTAAAACCCCCTTCCGCAGGCCACGGCTCCGAGTGAAGAAAAACGAAGACGCTTAAGCGGGTTTTCCTTGAGAGTTTCAGTTTTTAACCCCAAATGAAGTATAAAAATGTAGAGAATTGTAATGCGACCCTCTTATTATAAAATTGTTTCTATTTTTTCCCCATTATCTTGTTTATTCATTTAAGGACCCAAAGTGATTTTATGTCTTGGCAAGTTGTTCATGGACATAGATTATAGATAGAGTTAGATTACAGCTATGTCATCATCTTCTTCAGTTCTGATATATGCTGGTCTCTGTTGAAGTTATATAATATATATATATATATGATCTAAGCCTATATAGGAACTATATTCATGAATGTTTTCTGAAGAAACGTTTAACCAGAAGAAACACATACATAGGATAAAAACGTCGAAGCACATGACCCATGATCTTATTGATGATAACATCATAACAATCATGACATACATAAGACACATACATAAGACAACAAACATTACAGACAAAGCCTCCTAACAATGGCTGGCAACACATTCAGACAAAAACACACATCACGCTCATGGGTCTGATTTGCTTCTTGTTCTTCACTTGACATGGATGAGAGACCATTCCAACATGTCCTTGTGAGCTTCCTCTGCAGCTTTCACTGCTGATTCATCATCCGGATCGTACCTAATGCCCCATCCATGCGAGACGTTCTCGTATATCTTGACATGGCTCTTGACCTATCACCATTCCTAGTATTAGTTTCTCCATTTCAGAAAGCAATAGAGAAACTATATGTCCATTGTCGTTTCCCTTTCTCCTCTTTTCAGCTTCACAGCAAAGAGTTTTAATTTGAAAATATCGGAGCAGACGAAAAGCATACCTCGGGTTTAGAAGCAAGAACTTGTTCGAATTGCTTCAAGAGTTCAGGTGGGGATGTACGGTCATTCTCAGCTCCTAATACAGCAATCGGAGTCTTGACCTCTGCAAAAGAAATGTCAACTTTACTGTCTGGAAAACCAAGAAATCTGTGGATATGGGAAGAAACGGAACCGCTTACCTTTGATATCATCAACTGTGACGAAAGAAGGATGAAGCAAAACAGCAGCTTGAATAAGCTCATTCTTTGCCATTTCAACCACTACCTTTCCTGAAGAATACCGCACGAATATTACATTACTTTCTTCCATTGTTTCAGTATCAATAAGAAAGCGTCAAACTTTTACACTACTGCATATTTTGGAAGATATTCTCTGAAATGTCAGGACAGATGAGAAGAACAGACAAACTCACCACCAAAGCAGAGGCCTGCAGCTCCAACTGCGGTTATGCCTTTGCTCTTTAAGGCTTCAACTAATGGCTTTGAGTCCTCAAAGCCTCTGTCCTAAAAGAACAATTTGTCTGTTTCAGATTGAAACAAAGAATCTGATAAACAAGACAGGAACACTTAAACATGAGAAAGAGTAACTGACTGGTTCATGATCTCTCATCCAGACATGAAGAGGCCGGTCCTGGTTCTCGGGTTCATAAGGATCTCCTTTCAAGAAGTCTGGAACAACCACTAAAAACCCAGAAGCTGCAATCTTGTCAGCGAGGTTCCTTTGGGAATAAAGGAAAAGAAAGATTCAGTTGCCGGAAAATATAACCTCAGAATATGGAGTTTGAAACTGACAGGACGGGCAAAACTAGAAGACAAGACAGGTAAGCTTCTACTGCATCTCTTTGCCAGTAGAAGCTTAGCTTTTGAAATCTTATGATATGTCGGGTTTTTTTTTTCATAAATACTCTGCGTTATTTTCAGTGCCATGAGAAGGGAGAGTCAATCAGGCAAGAAGTAATACCTCAAGTTCGGAGCTTCATATCCTGTTAAACAAATTCGAAGATGAAAAGTTCAGAACATTATGATGTAAAGATCATTAGTTCAAAGGAACATACAAATCAGGCAAGATTCAGAGAGCGAAACATGATCTTCCGACATTACTTGAACATCAAGCAAACAACCCTAGACAAAGTGGTCAATAAAAATCAAAACTAAAGCAGTGGTTCCCATAAAACAAGAAAATAGTTGGAAATAGTTACCGAAAACATCAGAGAAAAGAACAATGCCGAGCTTGGAATCGAGGGAACCAGACACGTAAGCGTCAAGGCCACCGATCTTCTCGACCCGACCAGACCCGGAACTCGGGTTAAGGGTCGGTCGGTTTTCGCAGCACTGAGGACCAAACGCCATTGTCTATTCTTCTCAGAGAGGAGAGGATTCACCACACAACACAAGACCACGATTTGCTTCGCTCTTCTCAGTGTATATATAGGGTTTATGATCGTCACTGTGCAATGCCAATTCATCTGCAAGAATCTATCTTCAACAGTATGCAAAATCTCGATTCATGGTGGAGAGATCTTCGTTATCCAAATCGTTGGGGGGCACATGGGCCTGTTTCCGGCTAGGCACGGCATGGAGTGACTTGGATCGGAATCTCGATACAGTGTTTCAAGATTTTTTCTTTTTCCATATATGAGGTTATTATACGGGTCAGCAAGCCGTACAACTGAACGATTTGAACGTAATTATGGAACAAAGAGCCTGAGATGTTTTCTTTTTCCAGAAATTGTTTTTCTAACAAAACATAAACTTCTCTCTTGATCAGAGGTTCTGAGGAACCGACACGACTTTTAAGCAGTGATCCCACAACAGCTCATGTCTTTGGAATCCACAAAGTCCCATCCTTTTGTGGAAATACATTTCTCGTCCAAATCCTAAACCACAAAGAACCTCTTTCCTTAGTGCATTTCAGTAGCAATTTCTCTCTCATGTTCATCTATTAATCATCAGTTTCAATACACCAGATTTGGTTTAAGCCCATTTCGCGAGTTTAGAAACGTTACGGATAACGTTGATGAATGCAGAAACGACGTTAACCGTGATATAGCAATTCAAGATCAATCAGAACTCGACTCACCCTTGTGCATGTCGCTTCTGGTTGGTTCTGCAACGACGGCAACATAACAGGTCTAGCAGCAAGTTTATATCACCAGGTTTAACACCGAGATCAAATACAATATATAGGATCTAGAGAGCTTTCGGTAAGAGATACATTACCGAACACTTTTGATGGAGAACATATACAAAACTGAACTTTGATTCTTTCAAATCCAACAAGTTTCTTCTTTTGCATTTGGCTTCAATCTTGTCTTTAGCCAAGCTCATATCCCTGCACAAAAAAGGCTTCATGAAGCATTTCTTACTAACTTATGAAAAAATTCATATGGACATTTCTGCGTAAACATATATTCTTTACTTATGAAAAAAACGTTATCATGGTTAACGTGGTAACGGGAATGGCAAGGATTAGATAGATCAAAAGCGTCGATAACTCTTACCCTCGATATTTTCAACCGAGACAGAAAGGAAGGATGAAGGAAAACACCTGCTTGCTCGATGATAAATCTTCTTGTGACACTTTCATCCACGAGTTCACGATAATGCGTTCTTATATAGATGCCGAGCAATGGAGGGTAAGATTGATCGATGCTTTTGATCAATATATGAACGCACTATCGGTAACTAACTCGTGGATGAAAATTTCACGGAAAAAAAAAAAGCTCTGAAGAGTGTAAAGAATGAAGGATCAGTTGCCCAGGAGATTAAACATTTTCCAGTAAACTGATCCCAGATATGATGCATAAGAAACATCCATGATTCATTCTCCAAAAGGAGTTTAAAAGAAAGCAAGAAGGCAAAAGGGCAGCCCGGTGCACAAAGCGAGAGGCTAATTCCAAGACTCGAACCCGTGGTCACAACGTCAACACCTTAACCGGTGCACCAAGGCTTCCATCCAAAAAGAAAGCAAGAAATTAAGAAAAATATATTACAACCTAGTCCAAGACACAGAAGATATGCTTCGCCTCTTGTACAAATCCAAAACTAAATCAATATAAGCTTCTAAACCGACTAAGAGAATTTCCAGAGTGATGGCTTAGACTGTAGTTTAGCAGAGAGAATCCCATTCCCATTATAGTTTCCCAATATAAGAAGTGTCTCGAGATATTTACCTCTACTCATCGATATACGAAGTTTGCCAATAGAATCATAGCCAAATCCATTAGAAGCAATGAGTTGACAATGAAAAGATTCGTCACAGAGAGACAGAAATTCCTCGTCATAGCCATTACCAAGAGACGAGCAAGCAACTCGTCCAACTGCATAGTCCCTTTTAGAGGTCAGAGGCCTTCTTCCCTCATAAAAACACGATCGATTTCGAATTCACCCGAAAAATAAAGTTTCCAACTTTAACCTGACGAGCAAAGATAATAATCTCATGGCGGAGTTGAAATGAAAGGGCAAACAAAAACAAAGAACACATCTTGCTTAGACACGATCTTCCTTGGCAACTCAAAAGGTGGGAAAAACTCGGGTTTATGATTAACCAAGCAAAACCCAAATCGAAATTTGTAGTCTTGAAAGACCTGAATAGAATTTTGTTACAAGGAACCAAACAGAGCCACAGAGGAAAGATGAAGCGAAATCACCAGAAATATCAAAATCGACAAGAATCCCCAAGCTTCGAATTTGGTGTGCCAGTGACGTAGGTGTCGAGACCATCGACCCGACCCGGCCCGGAATTCGAGTCTAGGGTTTGGTGGGATTTCGCATCACTGAGGACCCGAGTCGAGGGTTGGTGGGTTTTGGCAGCACCGGGGATCCGACACTGTTCTTCGATCAGACAACATCCACAACCACAGCAACAGAAACAGAGAATCTCCATACTCAGACAACTACCTTCTTCTATATCTCCTCTGCTCCTCTCTGTTTATTTCCCCCATTTTTTTTTAAAATGATTGAGACTAGAATGTGCGATCAACATTCTTCGACATCATCATCTTGATGGTTGAGGCGTTTTGCTCCAGACAGGAATGAAGCTTTACCAGAATCGACCATGGCGTTGAACCAAATTTAAGAAACATTATCGAAGAAAAATATTATAAAAAAAAATCATTTTTAGTTTGTATACAATGCATGAATAAACCCGTAACTGAGCCATAAGACTTAATAGAATATGTTTGTTTACTCGATATAAGATGTGATTATCACACATTGGCTTGTGATCGGCTCTATTCAGTATTTATGGCTCGAAATATGAAATTGTATTTTTTTCCCCATAATATGAACCCCCCCCCCCCCCAATACTTATGCCCCTTAACGTTACAAAATTTAGATTTTAAAACTTTTGTATTGAATCATGTGAATATTTCCCAATTTTATTTTTATTTTTTTGAACCTTCGCATACAGTAATAAATTCACGATTACACATAATAGTTTGTGAATCACGTGTAACAGATAAGTCATCCAAAGATTGATTCGCGGAGGAGTGGTGTTAAAACCGAGATCTTTCGTAGAATTTTGAACTCAATCAACTCACGTGTTCCGAAGGGCATTTCCCAATTTTTTCCAACACAAAGGAAGAACTCGAATATGTATGATTACATCTTCATGGCATATACATGTACGTATATATAATCCAGTAGCCAATTGTGGGGTGAAGTTCCCAGTGAACAAGTGTCTTGGCTCGAAACCAATCCTAGATCTCTACATTTGAAACCTTTTCATCTTTGAGACAATGCATGTTCTCCCAAGCACTACACTAAGGGTTTAGTAGAGTTTGTATAAGCATTCAAAGAACTTAGATTATATGGGACAAATCTGCATTGCAACTGTATGAACACTTGCATATATACATATATCAAAATGTAAAGATATAAAAAAAAATATCTAATGAGGCCCCACCAAGTAAGCGAGATCATCCAAAGGATCAAAGCCTTGACAGATAGAAGAGATTGCCTCCCCTTCCTGAAGATCAGAATCGTCTTCCATGTTCTATACCAACAAATAGAACCCAACCACAACCCTAGAAACCCGAACTGCAAACATGAAATCTGTCCCGAAACACAGAGAGTAACCCTGACGCTAACCAACCTTCCCGAAAATCCAGCATCGTTCACAAATCCCTTCAAACCCGGAAATAGTGATTCTGAAGCATCGAAATATCCCCCAAACCCTAAATTTCAAAATTCCAATCCAAAGAACCGTCTTTCAGTCCGTAAACACGAAGTTAATCGATTAATCCTGGTACTCTTCAGGAACCCGTGATCAATATCGGCGATCAGAGAGTGGGAAACAGAAGAATGATCCACAACTCCGCCGAGTTGAATCAGAGTCAGACCGCGTAGAGGGTAGTGGCGGCGAGTTACGCTCAGGCTTAAAATCGTTGGTCACTCCTCTTTGTTCGGGCTCTTCGCAGAAGACGGGAAGAAATAGTGGTTTTTGTTTTGGAGCCGTTCTTAGCTTTATTATTAATTAATTTTGATTTGTAATTAAACCCTAAATCCGTATCTTATATATAGATTTAAGATTCAAATTTAAATTAAGCCCCCAGATTTGTCTTTGATGAGCGAATTTGCCCCTTATTTCTTAAATAGTAAATACCCCTTTTTATATGATTTGACATCTGAGTTCATTTTTTGGATCATTTAACAACCAACGAGAATTTATATAATAAAAAATATACACAGCAGCCAAACATATCAATTGAGTCAAAATTTTATTTGAAGCAAAAAAAAAAAAAAAGAGAGAGAAAAGATACACGTCTATATGATAAATTTATAATCATAAATTTCTATCATATGATCAGATGTGTAAGTTTATGTCCAATTTATCAATTAATATATATTGATGGGTTTTTTTAAAATTACAGTTATTTTAATTTAACCTAATATGTTAAAATGGTCAATTTACGAGGAATGAAAATCTGAGTATTTATTATAAAAACTTATCTAAAGATATGGTAGATACTAGGCCACACCCCACTTCATTGGGATGGAATAATAAGTTGCTGAAGTCTAGGTGGGATACTAGAGTCTCTAGAACAATTGTTTTACTCGGTTAGCAAATGATCACTTACACCATATGGACAGAACGACAATTCTAGAATTCATAATTCTGTCTTTTTAGATGTTGAGATTCTCTTATATACTTTTGACAAGACTCTACCATGGATAGCAACATTTTTCTGACAATTTAAGCCGGACCTAATTTATGAGATATTATAGCGATGGTTTGGGTAATCATTGTATTGGTTTTGGTTTAGGACCAAGGCCGTCTCATAAAATTCTGGGATCCCGTATACATCATATTTTTAAATTATTAAAATATATTAATTTATATATTAAATAATAATAATATTTAAATATAATTAAAAATATATATATATATATATTCGAAGAGATAAAGTAAGGTATGACTTTATATTCACTTTGAAAGAGAGAATGAACGGCTGCCCTCCCAACCTCCACTCACATCATCTTCACCTACTCCTAACCACTAACTCCGTTTTTTTATATACTCCCAACTATTTTTCCTATTCATAAAAAAATAATCATTTCCTTAGTTTTCATTACATGTACATATAAAAAAATAATTTCCCTATGCACACACATTATATATATATATAAAGAGAGAGGGGTAAAGCTTGATAAATGTTTTAAACAGTTGTATAGTAAACTTCGATTATATCTCATTTTTTTATAAATTTTTATTTTTTTGTGTAGTGATATTTTTGGTACAATATATTTCTCATAATTTTGATATATTTAGTAAAAGACGTATATAAACAAAAAAATTACCATCTAAAGTTACCACTAATCATATAGAGAAAACAGAAAATTGATTATCTAAGAGAAGAGAGGTTGACTTTGATTATTGTCTGTTTCTGACTTTTAATATGTTAATCATTTTATGTTTGCCCATAAACACTATTATTACACGTCCAAATCATATAACATATTCAACGTTCGCATATTAATTAGCAAAAAATCACTACTTTATACATTTCCATACGGTTAAAATTCTAATCCCTCGTAAATTTTGCTCTTTTAAATTGCGGGATTTTAAGCGGAAAATAAAAATCTTTAATTTGGAAATATATTTCATACAACCTGCCTCACTTACATCTATGATATTTTATTATTTTCAGATAAAAATAAATAATATTGTTTTTAGAGATGATTTGTAATAATATATTTGGCTTTAGATTAAAGATAATAAGAGCTTGATCCATGTGGGGTCATCATCATGACTCATGATGTTCTCAACACCACCAACTTCTTAGTTCCCACATCCTTTTCCCTCTTCCTTTGAGCACATTTTTCATTTAATTATCACTTTTACTTTCTACAATCCTACTTGTTTTAACCACACTATGCATATATATATATATGTTTAAGTTAGTCTAAAATTATATAAATTCTTATTAAACTCATATATTGAATATAATTTAGTCATTAATTAATGTGATAACTATATGTTTTATTTTAGATAGTTTTGAAAACTGAGTTTGAAGACAAACTTTTGGATTCTTTGGCATAGTAGTAATTCCCAATACAATTTTGAAATTGAACCGTTTGATTTAATATGTGAAGATTACCATACTTGAAGTTTGAATTTTCTTCATAACAGTCAAAAGAATCCCCCAATACTCATAACCATGTCACATGTACAGACAAGACAAACACATCAATACATATTTTTTTTTGTATATATCTATATATGTGTGCGCGTGTGTTGAAAATGCTAATGTTTATCCATAAGATACATCATCATCCAAGCTGGAAATTTGACCAAATTAACATTTTCCTCTCACCTAATGAAGGATGGCTTTTGCAAGAAAAAAAAATAATCCTGAAAACTTATTTGTAAAAGATTTTGTTTGAGATTACTGCATAATAATTAATTTACTATTTATTATGAATATGATCAAAGGGGAGAAACCCTAAAAGGGCCCAAGATTTTCATGCTTAAGGCTCCTTCCAGCTTCCTTGTAACGAGTTAGTTGACTTTTCCTTAGTTCACAAACGCCACTCATCAACTCAAATATGAATCCCCTAATCTTTAATTAGCAAACAAACAAAAAAATCAATAACCCATCTGAGGGAGAAAAAAAAAGTTACAATCTTTTTTGTTTTTTGGTAAATTAAAAAAAGTTTTAATCTTTACTCGAAACGAGTAACACTTTTTGATCCTTGTGCTTTCGAATCTGATAGCTTTGCTCCATCTGAAAACTGTTAAGATTCTTTTTTTTTTCTTCTGAAATTTATATGAATCCCCAATTTCAGACAATTCCTCGAGGATCTCAGATTTAGCTCAAGACATATAGTGAGCGAAAGGAAAAGTCTTTTTGGGTCCATTATTAGGAGTTTCTTTTCCTCGGGAGAGACACCCGTTTCGAACTCTCTGTCCATTCGTCGCACTATTCGGTATAATTGCATAACAAACCTTAGTCCTGATTCTCTGAATTTTCCAACCGTTTCCTCTGCTCCGTGGATTGGGCAACGAAAATGGCGGCTCTCGGACAGAGAACTGTCCGGGATTGCGTGATTGAGCAGACAAAGATTGCCCAAGAAAAGGGCATCGACCCGCTTCTTTGGGCGGCTCAGTTGTCGGCGAGCTTGAACACGACGGCGGAGCTTCCGTCGCCGGAGACGGCGGAGGCGCTCGTCTCGTACATTTGTTGGGACAACAACGTCCCTATCCTCTGGAAGTTTCTAGAAAAAGCCATGGCTTTGAGGCTCGTCCCTCCTTTGCTCGTTCTTGCTCTGCTCGCTGACAGGTTCCGTATCTCGTCATTATTTGTGCTTTTCCTCTCGAAAAGTTTGTTCCTTTGACCATTTGGGTTCATGGGTCGTCGATCGTTGTCCGAAATCTGGGTTCTTTTATTGTTCCCTCATCGAAGTTGATGCTGCTTCCTCGTATCTCGTTTTCTCGAGAAAATTTTGGATTTTGGGTTTCCCTATTTAGCTTATTCGTTTAGAAACGGCCGCAAAAGGAAAATTAACACTTGAATTCGTTCAGGTTATAGAGAAACAAGTTCTAAAGTTCACGATTTTTTTAGCAGACATTATGGATTCTTTCCGCGTTTCCATCTGCAGAGGGATCTCAGATTTGTTGTCGTTGTTTCGGATCTGTAATTTCGTGAGCGTTCTCAGATGGTGAAGCCTATTCCTATTTGTAACTCCTGTTTTTTTTTTTTTGGATCATTGATTCGGACAGAGTTCTTCCAAGTAGGCATTCCCAGCCAGCTGCTTATAGGCTTTACCTGGAACTCCTCAAGAGACACGCTTTCACCATTAAAAACCATATCAACGAGCCTCATTACCAGAAGTGAGTTACTGTTCCATTTAACTCTTGGTCCTGTCGACAATGTTATTCAGCTTGTAACCATCGGGATTGTTTGGAAAGCATCCATAGTTGATAAATTAGTACTTTTCTTACATGTTCTCTTATCTTCTTTGTAATACCATCCATCCCTACTTCTGTTCACAGGATCATGAAATCAGTAGACAATGTTCTTCTTCTGTCAGAGATTTTCGATCTGGAAACAAGCGAACCCGGTATACTTTTGGTAGAGTTCATCTTTGTGATGGTGTCAGAATTGGTAGATGCATCATTAAGCGACGAGGGTTTATCAGATCTACTAATAAGCCAGGACAGGAAACCTAAACCGCTAATCAAGTCCCGAGAAATGGAAATAGATGTGGTTGAGAGATACGATGAGAAGAGAACGGAATATCACGAGAAGCTGCAGAGTTTAAATACTGCCATGGCTATAGAGATGATCGCTGAGTTCTTGAGGAATAAAACGACCTCGAGACTACTTTACTTGGTCTGCCAGAACATGTACGTTCATATTAACCATCTATACAATATACCGAAGCGCTTCGTTTTGGTAGATCTTACTATGGTTCTTCGCCATTTACTCTTACAAAGAAAAAGATTTGCATTTGATAGTTTTTTGCTTGAACTTTTCCCCGAAGGAATTCATATTCTTCATCTTCCTTACCCTTTTTTTTTCAGGCCCTCGTATTGGCAAGGGTTTGTTCAAAGAGTACAGCTACTGGGTGCCCGTTCATCCGCTATAAAAAGTTCAATGGTTATAAACTCGGATGTTCTTCTGCATTTGATCTCGGATAGACGGTTTGCACTTTCATACGACAGCAAACCAAATCCGTTACTGAAATCCGACACGATAGTGGATTTCGGATCTTTGGCTTCCTTCACCGGTTTATGCCATGGAGCAAGTCTCTCTTCACTCTGGCTCCCTCTTGATCTTGTGCTTGAAGATGCTATGGATGGATACCAAGTGAGTGCGACAAGTGCGATCGAGATAATAACGGGTACCTTCAAGGCTTCATCCCTGTAAAAGTTTTCAGCTTTTTTTCGATATTAAATTCCTCAAATATGAATGAATCGAGGGTTAAAATAATTTTCAGGTCTGACCAAAATACTCAAGGCCATTAACAGCAGTTCTTGGCATGACACATTCTTGGCCCTTTGGATAGCAGCTCTCAGACTTGTTCAAAGGGTTTGAACTTTTCTTCCCCTGCTGATATTTCGATACATTCTTGTCGTGAAATGGCGCATTTATGAAGTGATAGTTTCTGAATATCGATGTTTTTATGTCCGTTATTGTTAGGAAAGAGATCCTATCGAGGGACCTATTCCTCGGCTGGACACGAGGCTCTGCATGTTATTGTCTATTGTACCTCTTGTGGTTGCCAACCTTATAGAAGAGGAAGAGTTGCTAATGGATGAAGAGAACTGTCCTTCTACTAACCATTGGAAAGATAAGAAAGACATTAGAAAGCATCGGACCGATCTCATTACAAGTTTGCAGGTCCTCGGTGATTTCCCGGGATTGCTGTTTCCTCCCCAGTGCGTTGTTTCCGCTGCCAACCAGGCAGCAACGAAAGCAATGCTGTTTATGTCTGGCATCAATGTTGGAAACGCGTATTTTGATTCCATCAACATGAAAGACATGCCTATCAATTGCAGTAAGTTCATCAAAAACTCTGCGCGGGTTTGATCAAAACTTTGTTTCTGTTTTCGGGGTTTTTTTTCCCACATTTATCGACATTTTATGTCTCTCCTAACAGCCCGATGTACTTTGTGTTTTTGTCTTAGCTGGAAACATGCGCCATCTGATAGTCGAGGCTTGTATCGCGAGGAACATTCTGGATACATCCGCTTACTTGTGGCCTGGCTATGTCAATGGCCAGGTCAACCAAATTCCTCACAGTTTACAAACCGAAGGACCGAACTGGTCATCGTTCGTAAAAGGGGCCCCGCTTAATGCCGCGATGGTGAATGCACTGGTTTCAGTCCCTGCTTCGAGGTAGAATGAAAAAAAAATCTCTATTCGGTGTATTCTACTTCCTCCATTGTTGCTCTAGTGTTAAGAATGCTTCAGTTCTAGCTTTGGTCTGATTTTCGGGTATCGGTTTCTGTTTCTGAATCTAATGTTACTTCGTATAACTTACCGAGAGCGAAGGAACTGAAATTTGAGTCCATCACTTTGATGGAAGCTTAACAGAGCTCGAGAAGATATTTGAGGTTTCGATCAAAGGATCGGACGATGAGAAGATATCTGCCGCTACCATTCTTTGTGGAGCGTCTCTTACTCGGGGTTGGAACGTTCAGGTTGACATTAGCATCTTCCAGCGTCGAAGATTTCTATCAAATTTATCGTGATACGAAAAATCTGTTTTCTTGACATGTTTTACTTGATCTGCAGGAACACACGGTTCAGTTTATTACTAGATTACTGTCTCCGCCCGTTCCCGCGGATTATTCTCGGGCTGAAAATCATCTGATAGGTTATGCCCTGATGCTAAATGTTCTCATTGTCGGGATAGGATCCGTCGACTGCATTCAGATCTTCTCGTTACACGGCATGGTATGCGTGTTTTTGCGTAATTTCCTATTCATATTCTACGATATTTGATTCTTCTTACGTTTTTCTTTTCCAGGTTCCTCAACTTGCTTGCTCGTTAATGCCGATTTGTGAAGAATTCGGATCGTACACTCCGAATGTCTCGTGGACTCTTCCTTCTGGAGACGAGATTTCGGCCCATTGCGTTTTCTCGAACGCTTTCACTCTCCTTTTAAAGCTATGGAGATTCAATCATCCTCCTATCGAACATGGAGTAGGCGATGTACCAACAGTCGGATCGCAGCTAACTCCCGAGTATCTTCTTTTAGTCCGAAACTCGCATCTCATGTCATCTGAAAACGTTCATAGAGATCGAAACAGGAGGAGACTTTCTGAAGTTTCGAGGTCATCGTCTTCTAAACCCATTTTCGTCGATTCGTTCCCGAAGCTGAAAGTATGGTATAGGCAGCATCAGAGATGCATAGCCGCTACGCTCTCTGGCCTTACGAACGGATCTTCCGTTCACCGGTCCGTTGAATCACTTCTCAACATGATGTTCCGAAAGGTTAACCGAAGTGGTCAGGCTTTGAATTCGGTTAACTCGGGTACCAGTAGTTCTTCCGGAGCAGGAAGCGGAGATTTCAGTTTAAGGCCGATGCTTCCTGCTTGGGATATTCTCGAAGCCGTTCCATACGTGGTTGATGCTGCATTGACGGCCTGCACTCACGGAAGACTTTCTCCTCGTGAGCTGGCTACAGGTTCGTGGCTCGTACTTTCTTTTGTGTTGTCACAAAAGTGTAGAATTTTCGACGAGAGAGTTTCATTTTCGTAATGAGATGATTTTGTTTGCTTTAGGGTTGAAAGATTTAGCAGATTTTCTCCCCGCATCGTTGGCACCTATTGTAAGCTACTTCTCGGCTGAAGTGAGTAGAGGTGTCTGGAAGCCGGCTTTCATGAACGGAATGGATTGGCCGAGTCCCGCTGCGAATCTCTCCAACGTCGAGGAATATATAAAGAAGATTCTCGCAACAACTGGCGTCGATATCCCTAGTCTTGCTCCGGGTATGGACATGTTTCAAATTTCTATAACGAATCCCGTTTTTTTCTGGTTTCGAATGTTTGAATCTCGTCTTCGAAACTTACGCTTTGTTTCTTGATGTTTTTCGGTGTAGGTGGAAATTCTCCGGCAACGCTTCCTTTACCATTAGCCGCCTTTGTAAGTCTAACCATAACTTACAAAATCGACAAAGCCTCAGAGAGGTTTCTGAATCTAGCCGGCCCGGCTCTCGAGTGCCTGGCTGCAGGCTGCCCTTGGCCCTGCATGCCCATCGTCGCTTCCCTATGGACCCAGAAGGCGAAACGGTGGTTCGACTTCCTCGTCTTCTCGGCATCTCGAACCGTCTTTCTTCACAACCAAGACGCCGTGGTTCAGCTCCTTAGGAACTGCTTCAGCGCCACTCTCGGCTTGAACGCTACTCCGATGTCACATGACGGCGGAGTCGGAGCTCTCCTTGGCCATGGATTCGGCTCTCATTTCTACGGCGGGATTTCCCCTGTAGCCCCCGGGATCCTTTATCTCCGTATGTACCGTTCCCTGAGAGATACCGTCTTCGTCTCGGAAGAGATTCTCTCTCTTTTGATACATTCCGTAACCGAGATAGCCCGAAACGGGCTCTCGATGGAGAAGCTTGAGAAGCTCAAGACAGTCAAGAACGGGATAAGGTACAAGCAAACCTCGCTTGCAACGGCGATGACTCGGGTAAAACTCGCGGCTTCGCTCAGTGCTTCGCTGGTATGGCTAACCGGCGGGTTGGCCGTGGTCCATCTACTCATCAAAGAAACCATCCCGTCTTGGTTTCTATCCGTCCACAAGTCGAACCACGAGCCAGGTATCATAGAGAAGAGATTATCATAATATTACCCTGTAATATTCAAATTTGGTTCTATTTCTATATTTTATATATTTATATTAATTAAATAGTATAATTCTTCGATAATATTCCCCAACCAAATCTCTATTACCAGGATCATGCAGTCTAATCGCGGAGCTAAGAGGGCACGCTCTCGCATACTTCACCGTCTTATGCGGAGCGTTTGCATGGGGCATGGATTCGGCGTCTTCATCTTCGAGATGGCGCCCGAGAATCCTCGGGAGCCATATGGAGTTCGTAGCGAGCGTCTTGGACGGGAAGATATCCGTCGGGAGCGAGGAAGAGACGTGGAAAACGTACGTTTCGGGGATGGCGAGCCTGATGGCGAGCTGTTTCCCGCACTGGGTGTCGGAAATGGACGTGGAAGTGGTGAAGAGCTTAAGCGACGGGCTGCGGAAATGGGAGAAAGAGGAGCTCGGGGTGGCCTTGCTCGCCATGGGAGGCCTCCGATCTATGGGCGCTGCTGCTGAGTTCGTCCTTCATCTTTGATCTGCCCGACTTCCACAGGTTTGGTTTTTTTGATCTTCAGACATAATCTTAGGATCTTTTTTTTCTTTTCCTGGTTTAGTTTTTGGTCTGAAACAGAAAGTTGCAGAGGTTGGTTACTACTTCAGAAGGATAAAGCTTTGTCTTTTGTGTATTGTTACTTGTTCGTTTAGATGTAGGGTGATGAAGAGGGCGTTGTATCATGTATATTTGTAAAGGAAATGATTTCTATTTGTAATATTATATGGTATGGTTAGATTTTTAATTTTAAGAAAATGTGCAACACCTATGGATAAAATTTGAAAAGATTACAATAGTATTACCTAAACGTTTTCGTATAGAAATCGTTATCCGTCTGATGCGTGAGTCGGATATTCGAAATTTCGGATACTCGATCTACGGAACGAGGAGGCAAAAACCCGATCTATTTAGAGACGTTGACCATAATTGAGATCAAATTTTATTGAATAAACTTATAATAACTCAAAAATGGGTATGACAATTTATTTATTTATTTTTTAAATTTGAAAAAAGGGGGGGTTAGCAATAGCAATGGCACTCGTGCTTGTGGAGGTGACCAAACCACTTGCAAAAGCCGCCTTTACTGCAACCGCTAACACAGAAATCCCAGCATCTGCCGTTCGTCATGGGATTGTCGTCGTGCCCCGGCAGACATCGTCCCAGCTGCGGATGCTCCATGCAGCATCTCGACTCCGATCTCGGCCCATAATCCGGCCCGTTTATTTCCTCCTCTCCCACCGCTTCCTCCGCTCCTATCGTGTGTGTATATATATATACATACGGAATGTGTATTATTAAATCAATTGGACCGGTTTCCACCCATTTTTCTCACGAGATGAAAATATACAGTCCTGATTTGTCTCGTCTAACTCACAAGCGAAACGATACAAAATACGATAAATATATATATATATATATATATATATATATTTATATACGTATATGTTACAAACAAATATGGAGAGTGAAAATGAACCCTAAATGCCATGGAAACCCCTAATTATAGTTTGATATGCGTGTATACGAAGAACCTTTTGTCATTACACCAGCCCCTGAACGATAGTATTATAAATTTTTTTTTATATAAAGCATTATAAACATTTTTGGTATAAAATGTTTTTTTTTTACCTAAAAGTACACCAATATTTTTATTTAGCATGCATTGAACAAACTTACCAATGCATAGGGCAAGAGCCATAAGCAGCACAACAAATGAGACAGATTTTGTTCTCCACATTTCTTTTTTTTTTTTCTGTTTCTATGAAAATTACAAAATTATCACTGTTTATATATTTTTATTTTTTTGACGTCGAGGAGCCGTTCATATTTATAACCTCGTATTTAAAACAAATCATAATACATGGTATACAATATAGATATGGTAACATCTTAACCCTTCGTTAGATGTCGTAGTAAATACCTAACAAATGATTCAGTTCCCTAGTTATATAAACTTTAGATTTTATATAGAAACACATTAAAGTTAAATACAAATGATTAAACTAATAATATAAGTACACTATATGGTTACCATAGTTCTTCTACCGTTATTTGAAGTAAAACTATGGATTAAGTTTTTATAGTTAACTCTCTCAAAAAATAGCTCTCTATTGTAAATTCTTTTTTAGGTTGAATTAATTAGTTGGTTCTTTTTTTAAACATTTTTATGTACAAATTCTTATTTTCTAACTTGAAAAGATATCAATAAAGAAGTAATTGAAGAAATAGAACGGAATTGTTTTTAAAATTTATAGATCTAATCTGTGTTGTCGAATCCTGAATTATATTGGTTTAAAAAATAAATATACAGTTTAAATGAAAACGTTATTATCATTAACATTAAATATTGAAAACTGATAATAATTTTCTCTATATTAAATTAATATAAGAAAAATCGAAAAAATAGAAACAAATGTATTCATAACCCTTATGAAATATAATATTTTTCAATGAAAAATGAGAATATGATGAATAATTGTGGATGTCAAATATAAAAAAGAATAGAAAAAAAAGAATGATTTTCTAAAAAAATCGAGTGAAAAAGATTATGAGTTTTTTAGATTCATTATATATATATATATTATAATTAAGATATAAGTTCATATTTTAACGAAATGGTAATAAATCCCAAAAGTGTTGTGAGGCCTTTAATTATATTTTAAAAAACTTTTTAAAAAAAACTTGTGCAACTGCTCGGCCCATTAGACGGCCCTGAAAATGATGAGCGATGAGATTCCACCAAATATTTGTTCATTAACCAGTTGCTGATAAAACACCAGACAGAGAGCCTTCGCCTTTGAAAGGTTCCTCCCAAGAATTCAGACAGCATCGGTTCTTGTTTCTTGCAACCTTACCCTGGAAACTTAAACTACTTCCCGCCAATTGTACAGATCGAACACAGAATCTTTTGACGACGATGATTTCGCAGCTCGAAAAGACAGTGCCGAGTTTGTTTGTCTCTTTCACTTGACATAGTGGATAAGCCACTCTAACATATCCTCGTGAGCTTCCTCTGCAGCTTCGGCTTCCGATGGATCGCTAGGGTTGTACCTAACTGTCCAGCCATGTTTGACTCTTGGGAATATCTTCACGAATCTCTTCACCTGTGAAGATCGGTACTTTCGTTTCAGAAGAATACCCGTCAAAAGGTTTTGATGTTTCGGGAGAGAAGAATGAAAAATGTTACCTCGGGTTTAGAAGCCAAGATTTCTTCGAACTGCTTCACGAGCTCGGGAGGGGAGACCTGATCGAATTCGGCTCCTAATATAGATATCGGAACCTCGACCCCTGGAAGAATTTTTTTCGCGATGTTGCTGATTCTCGTGACGAGAATCCGTATGTTTCAGACAGATATTCGAAGTCTTTACGAGGGGGGAAGAAAGAAAGGACGTACCTTTGATATCATCCACCGTAACACGAGAAGGATGTAACAGAACAACCGCTTGAACGAGCTCTTGCTTGGCGAGTTCCACCGCTACTTTTGCTGAGATCGAGACACGAAAGGGAAGAGGGAATATCGTATTATGCATCGAAAATAACACTGACCCGGATGCCAAGAAACTAATAAGAGTGCATCCAACGATGTTAGGACATAAACTGAATCCTGTATGAACTATCGAGTTTGAGATTGTAACGATGAAGGAGACGAGTGAAAAACCTACTCACCACCCCAGCAGAAGCCTGCTGCTCCGATGGCGGTTATGCCCTTACTCTTTAAGGCTTCGATTACCGGCTTTGACTCCTCAAACCCTTTATCCTGTAAGATTGAACGAGCTAACCCCATTGGAATTACGAAATAACAGGGCAACTAAACGAAACGTCGACAAGATTTCCCGGTCATCCTAGTCAAGATCAGGATGCGGAATCGGTGACAGTGGGTATAACGGCATCAAGAAGGATTAAGGGTAAAATGCAGATGTTTGTGCGTTTTTCGAAACACGATCAAGACAATTACAGACGGAAATTGGAACAATTGTGTAAGGAAGAACAGCAACTAACTGGTTCATGATCTTTGATCCAGACAAGAAGAGGCCGATCCTGATTCTCGGGATTATAAGGATCTCCATGGAAGAAATCAGGAACCACAACATAGAATCCAGAATTCGCGACCTTGTCTGCAAGTTTCCTTTTCTCACGAACAGACATAGCCAAATCAGACAGGAAGAAAATCAAATGCCTTCTTTCTAAGAAAAGTGACAGAGAAAAGATGGGGAGAATTTTCAATACCTCAGGTTTGGAGTTTCATAACCTGCAAGAACATATTGAAAGATTGTAAAATCAGGGCAAAATTGACGAAAGATCAAAGCTTTACAAGAACCCAGTAACAAAACCGGATTCTTACACGAAAGATATCGATAAAAACTGCGATCAGAACAGAAATTAAGAAGAACTGCAGACAGAGCGATTCGATTCTCAGTAGAAAGCGAGAAACTTTTACCAAAGACATGAGAAACGAGGAGAATCCCAAGCTTGGAATCGGGAGATCCGACGACGTAGGAATCGAGGCCACCGAGTTTCTCGACATGACCCGACCCGGAATTCGGGTCAAGGGTCGGTGGGTTTTCGCAGCATTGAGGATGAGACATTGTTTCTTCGCCCGATCAGACACAGAACAGAATACAGAAGCGACAGAACAGGAGGAGCTTCACTGGACTGGTTTATGGGCTATCGCTAAAGAATCTGAGCTACCCACCTATACTTAGCCACGTGCTTAAAAGGAAAAGGATCCTCGTGTACGGATGGGATTGAATCTAACCTAATTTCAGTCTGGTCTGAAACGCTTGTTCTTTCTCAAGGTTTCCCTTTGAAAAACTAGCACTGATATGCATAATTGCGATGGATTTTTGCAGGTGCAGGTTCAGAAAACTAATCTTCGATTCAGATTCAGAGGAACAAACAATGAAATGGGATTAAAAGTTAAAACAGAAAGCGAAGCTCTTATTCGTTCGAAAAAATTGCAGAGAATCAAACAAACAAACAGCCCCCAAGATTCAGAGGGATACGTAATCTAGTTTTCTGGTTATGTTCACGAACAATGAGCAGAAGGGAAGCTCCTGTACGGATCTCCGAACGCAGCTGTGTTTCCAGGACGAGAAAACACCACCTACATGTCGCGAAAATGCGAAAAAAATTTAACGGAATCGAACTATATATCGAAGAAATGCTCCGTTTCTTGTGATTCACGGCACCGGTTTAGGTGCTTTACCTGGTAGTTGCCAAGGGTAAGAGTCTTGAAACCAGCAGCGCAATAGTCGAAGTAATATTCCCATGTTCTAATGAATTCCTCGTTGAATCCAAGAGCCATGATTTGTCTGCACATTAGATCGGTTTTTCCATGTCAGAAAACAGATGAATCTGTTGAATGCAGAGAAGAAACGAACGGTAAGAAAAAAGGTTTTTGTCTTTCTTACTTCTGTCTCTCCAGGAAGTTCTTTCTCCAGCATCTCAATGTCTGGTAATAATGGATTCCAATGTTTTCAACGTGTTCAATGCTGCGTTTTCGCCATGTCAGATTCGGAAAACCGATGATTGCTGCGGGTGAAATTTTACGCTCTGTGAAAGAAGACGACTTACCATAGCCTTGATGAAGACGCCATTGCTGATGTCACTCTCGCTAGCGAAGGAAGGCATCCGCCGGGAAAGATGTATTCCTTGATGAAATCCGAACTCAGTCTATACTCGTCGTAACGTTCTTCGGGTATCGATATGAACTTGATGTCCAAAAGCAAAAAAAGATCCATTAAGATCAAGAAAAAAAACACAGAAGATTTTGAAAGAAACATATATATAGGAAGATGACAGCAATTACTTGCAGAACAATAACGCCATCTTCTGCAAGCGCAGATTCACACCGGCTGAAGAACGTCTCCATGAATTCATGCCCAACCGCTTCTAACATCTCGCTGAAACATGGGTAATGTAATGTTTTCGGTTAAGCAAAATCTGATCTGCATTTTTATACAGTAGAGAGAAAAGGATCTTTCTTACCAAGATATGATTCTGTCGTATTTGCGGGAATCAGAAAGCTGTCGATAATCGCAGAGTTGGAATGTTATATGATCCTAAACATTGAAACAACATCTCGTTATTGGTTATTCTGTTTTCTTGTTACGGTCCGAAAAAAAAAAATCGCTTTCGAAGTTGATAACACAAACCTGAAGGCCAGCTTCTTTCACCTTTGCTTCTGCATATTTAAGTTGCTCAATGGATAATGTAATGCCGGTGTATTTACATCCAGTTCTTCTCACAACTTCTATGGCTAAGGTTCCCCATCCACATCCAATCTCTAAAACCTCGTGATTCTTCTCTATTCTCGCCTAAAGTACTCAACCGGGATGATGATAAGAATGAGTGAATCAAAGGGTTTGTGTTGGGATCACGAAGTTTTGTTCTAAATCTTTGATGAAAGGTTTTCAAGAGGTTACCTTATCGATCAGAAGAGAAATTTTTCTCATCTGGGCAGTTCTCAGATCCTCGTCTTCCGACTACAAAATCACGAAAACGTAACTCTTGGAATCTAATTAGAATCAGAATTCAAAGTAGAGAAAACCTGTCGTAAGTTTTTCAGTCACCTTGAATACTGCAGAGGAGTAAGTCATTGTGTCATCCAAAAACAGAGCGAAAAGCTCGTTGCTCTGCGAAATTACCAGATCAAGAAGTGAAATCTTGGGCTAGAAACCGAGATAGAGATTGAGAAACAAGTGTGTGGATAAAGAACATGTATACCAAGTCGTAGTGACGAGAAATGTTCCTACGAGCTTGCGTTAAGGTGTTCTGTCTGGAAACATGCTTTAGAAAGTACTTTGCAGATGCCAAACCAGCAGTGAAAAACATCGGCGTCCACCAACCCCTAAAAGAATCGAAGTTTAGCCGAAAAAATTCATGCGATGATCTTCACAGTGCGTTCATTGAAAGTAACATCACTACCTTTTCTTAGCAAGATTCGATTTCGGTGAGTTAAGATCTCTATTAGCTATCAGAATCTGCAAGCAAAGGTCTCAAACCGAATGAGGGGTCAAAACATTAGAAGACGAAAAAAAAAAGAGTCTCAGATTCTAATGTCTGATACCATGATCATATTCAGAAGTCCATTGTTCTTGTCAACGAACGAAAAATCTCCATTGATATACGCATCAGCGAGCCCCAGATCTGCCTGTGTCATCACCTGGTAAAAACACGAGTCCGGTTCTTGAGTGAGCCGTCGAAGAACAGTTTACGTGTTTCAGCAGCTTCGTCTTTTGTGTTTACCTTCCAGTAAAACTGAGGGCTGTGAATCTTGAGAACAGTTTTCAGCGTACATTTCGGGTGTTTTCCGTCGAACGTAAACATCGTTCCTCCTTCTTCGAGTAACCTATCGGTTTCCATCGTGTCGGGAAACAGTTGGAAGAAAGCGAGTTAACGTGGGAGAAAAGAAAAAACCTGCGGTGGAAGAGTTACAGAGTTCATATTTTCGAGGGCTTACATAACGCAACCCGTCGAGATGAACTGTCCCATGAATCTGGTGACGAAAACACGAGCTCCTGTTTCTGCAAGAGACGGGACCATATGTGTCGGATTGTTCAGAAGCTCAATATCTTTGCCTAGCAGAGCATGTGCAGCCGAAAAACCAGCCTGATGAATCAAGAAACCGAGTTACATAAATTAGCTATCCACAAGAACAACGATACATTGACGAAGGGAAGATGTGTATGGTATTGATCTATGCCTTTAGCCCGTCTTCATGGAAACCATAGCCTGAGAAAAACAAAAAATGCAGGAAAGGATTAGACGAATCGAGAAGTATTATTCTTACGGCTGAAAAAAACCGAATTTCGGGTGTTCGAACACTATATGAGATGAGATCGCTTTTGAGGGAAACTCGAAAGTCGGGTTCGAGTTTCGATTCGGGTAATCGGGTGAGTGATCGGGAATTATCAGCGGGTAATCGAATAAACATTAAAACGGCATTCTTACTACTAAACTTTAGAGATATCACATACAAACCTGCTGAAATCTCTTTAAATTTCGCAAAAAAATTTGGGTATCCGATCCTAATCAATATGTTTTTGATAAAATTTCGAAATTTCGCAATTAAACTCGGATTCAAGATCGAAACTCACCCTGATATGCACCGCAGAACCATAGCCGGCGTTTTCCCTGAATCTTGTGAAGCTCTTGTGAAGCTTTCCATGCAGCAACAGAGGGCACAGGGTGACCAGTCCTCCATTTCAGCATCGTCTTCTTTGGGATACGATTAGGGTTTAGGGTCACGAAGAACGGTTCGCCCTTCTCTCCAAGATTCTGCACCACATCAATGGATGATATATATTATCGTCATTATATAAATAATTCAATATGAGGTTCTCCACATATATATACGTTTTGTTACATTACCTGAAGTATATTGAGCCAGTACGTTACGCATACTCTGTTTTCAGTGCTTCCGAGAAAATTCCATGCACTCCATGCAGATTGGTTCCGAGGCATCAAATCCGTGTCGTGGTGGAGATATATGTCGCTGAAACGCCACAAACACCGAGTTAAACAGGTCGCTTCGGGCTAAATTCACACAAGTTCTTGAATCAAAGAAAATATCTGTCGTAAGGTTACCTGTAAACGTATTGAAAAGCACCAAGAACCCTAGTTTCGTCGAATGTCGCTTGTTCCCCAAGCAATCTCAGAGCATCTGGAGCGTGCATAGCCAATATACATCGATCGAATAGCTCCTCAGAGCCGTCTCCGCATCTAACGGTGACGCCTGCAATGTTTCATAAGCCAAGATTATTACAAACTTTAACTGAGGAATCGAGAAAGAAATTGTTTCAAGCTCAAAGAAACTGCAGAGACCAGAATATGTACGGACCATTATCAGAAGTGGAAACAGATTGTACATCGCAGCTTGTTCTGATCCGGCATCCTCGTCTTTCCAGTTCTGTCCTAACCTGACCAGTCCGTACACAATTATACGTCATGCTCGAATCCGTACCCACAAAACACCGGATGTTTTACTTGTAATGTTCAGACAAGTCTTATCTTTAGTCAATGGTTATTACTGCTACCTTGGCAACATAAGTATGGGAACGTCCTGCAACGGTTAGCCATTGTGGCCTTCCAAAGAGCTGAATGAAAAGACTAGGTCAAGAATCACCGAGAGAGAAAAAACACTCAAGTGAAATTAAGGTTTATAAATTCTCGAACCTGAAGCAGATGATGGTTTCTGCAGAAGGAAAGAACGGAGAAAGCTGAGAAGCTCAGGACACCGTCAGCTGGGCAAGACCAGATCGAACCACATATCGGTACCTGTCCCGAAAAACGAAACTGACGTTACTTATCGAGCAAGCAAACGCGAGAAAACTCGCAGACAAAAGAGCGGAAACCCGAGAATTCTAACCAGATAAGCCTTCTGAAACAGCTCAGAGTAGCCATGAGAGTCGAGGAATTGCCCCAGGGTCTCGGACCGATCAAGATCAGGGTTAAGCTCACGTGATTCGATGTATCTCAAGACATCATCCTTAAACTTGACGATCTCTCTGATCATTTTCCAGAAATAGGGGTTGAAAGCGTTGCTCTTCTGAGCAAACAATCCCGAGAAACCGTTTCGGCTTCCCCACTCGCAGCCTCTGCCATCGTCGAGGCTTACTGAGAATGACATGTCTGAAACCTCCATGTCCACTCCGAGTTCCTCGAAGAACTCCATCATGTTGGGATATGTTACCTGTTATGTAATGCAATGAATTGCCGTGTATATCAAATATCACTGTCTTATGGGTCACTAGAGGAACAACATTTTTTTTTTTGGTTAAAGATAACATATATACCAAAGCCTATACCTTTATAGAGTGGTTTTATTAATCTTATTGGATATTTTTTTTTTCTTTTCTGGGTTTATTTTCATTGTTGTTTTCAGAATTCTTACGAAAAAATATGATAATTTTTTTTTAAATTAAGATGCCGATGCCGTACTATTTCTCGAAATTGGTTTACATATTGTGCAGACAAATAATTATATCTTATATTTATATTTGTTTTTTTATATTTTTGTCTTATTTCATTTTATTTTTTTATTAAAAAATAAAATAAATAGTTTTAATGGATTTTTTGTTTTTATATTTATTTTAATTTGATTAGATTTTGTCAATTTAATTAAAAAAAAAAAGATATATTCTATCAATTTATTTATTAAAAAAAAAAGCGTTTCACGAGATAACAGCGAACCCCGAATCTCGTCAGGTCCTTATCGCGACTTTTCTATTATTTATTTCAGTATTTGTGTTTTTCTTGAAATTGATGCTTACGTTAGCAACGTAGTTATATACAAGCAATAAAAAATATATATGGTCAAAATTCAAAATAATGACAACTTGTCTTCTTATTTTCCAATTAAAGAACATGTATTTTATTTTGCAAAGATACGCCATATGTTCACCAAATTAAATCACAAAGTATTCTTGCTACTTGCATTTAGAAAATAGATTTTCTGTGTAATATTCCTATTATTAAGGCAAAATGATATTTCAAATGTGTAAACTAATTAGATAATAAAACATGTATTATGATGTTTATTATAGAAATTAATAGATAAAATTCTACGTAATATTATTAAAAAAATATATGAATTTTGAAATTTTCAGAAAAATAAACCAATTCGACAAATGCTAGCCAATTTTCTACACACAAACATTGATCTTACGAGCGACGTCGATATTGGACGATCATAAATCCCATCAAATTAAGATTTATATAAGAAATCGGCAGTACTTGATAAATATATTTTTTCCATTTAACAAAATATGTAAAATATCTCCTAAATATATAAAAATCCCAATATATGATAAAAAAAAGTCACAATCAAAGACAATACAAATGAAAATAGTAACAATACTAAAATTGTTAATTAGATTAAGACACGGTAGAAAACAACATGTCTAAAAAGTAGTGCTTAAATATAGTAAATATATATATATATATATATATACCATGATCATTGCAACTCATGCAGACATTTTATCACTTATTTTTATTATTATTGTTCTTAGGAAAATATGGATACCATATTTATAGAAATCGTATCTTTCTACTATTTTTTAAATATTAAAATTATCCAAACAAAACGGAAAAAAAATTATATTAACAAATTGACGCCTAACATAGACATGAAAAGATTTGTCGGTTTATCATTTCAAAGTTTTAAAATCAGAATAAAAATTCAAGGTACGGGCATACGAATTCTCCAGTATTTATTCACGTGAAAAAAAATATCGATCAATAAGACAAAATACCCTTTTTTTTAAATAAAAAAAGGATATAAATATTATGAAAATAGATAACAGAGAGGAGGAGAAGATTGAGACACGTACGCGATTGAAGACCATGAAACCGAGGTCGACGTCAGCAGAATCGAAACGCACCGTTTTAGCATGGCCCCCCAAGGCATCATCTTTCTCGTACAAGACAACTTCGTCGCCACCGCCATGTCTTGTCGCCAGAACATACGCAGACCCCAATCCGCTTATCCCTCCTCCAATCACCGCTACCCTCATTTTTTATTCCCCTTCAAGATTCTCCATACATATCGTAAATTAATTATATATAATTCATATATATATATAAATAAACAGAATCTAATCCTGCATTTGTCATTGTCATTCTCATGAAAAAATGTATCAATGTTTCGTGAGGAGAGAAAAAAGTTTTACCTTTTTTGTTTGGGCGAATTCGGAGATATGGATTCAGGAGAAGCCGATTCGGTAATGTCTGATTTCTTGGGAGACAACTTTCTTATTCAAACATGAGAGAGAGAGAGAGAGAGAATGTGTTTGAACTTTGAAGGATCTCTGAAAGATGACGGTTCTTCTTCGTGCTAGCAGATAAGCCAGCTATGTCTTGTCTCCTTCTGCTTCTACTCGCATCTATATATAAGTAATGTAACCATGGTTAAGGCCCTGTTTGGTTTACTCTCTCTCTCTCTCTATATATATATATATATTCAGTTATCCAAGTGTTGTTTTTTTACATAATCTTTGTTTTTTGGAATAAATAATATCAATTAACACAACTTATGACAAAAAAATATGTTCTCCTGTTTTTTTAATCAATTTGACCATTTACTTAATCATACCGAATTTTCTTTTATGTGATGTGGATATTTTGAATAAAATATTCTTCATTACGTGAGTTTCTAGGAGAAATGGTAAATTCTATAACTCTCACCAATTGTTTTGAAAGTTCTAAATTTTTTATCATCCAGAATATAATGAAACGAACTTCATTTTATAGTGTGATTAAATTATAATTATTATGGTAAAAATCTAAAATAAAATATTTTGAGATATGCAATATGTCAATTTAGACATTTGTTAAAAATAAATTACAAGCAAAACAGGTAGACATATTTAACGGAAATTACATTAGTCACGTGGAAAAAATTGTGAAAAATCACATAAAAAATATGTAAAATCAAATGAAAACTAATGAAATGTAATAGTAAATACCATGGCGTCCCAACCTCGTCCGATTGACTTGATCAAATGAGTTTGAATACAATTAATGAAGATATTTATTCAAAATTTACTATATATATAGGGAATTAGGGATACATATTTTTTTGGACAAAAAAAGTTAAATACATGTTTTTAAAATTTCAGAAAACATCTCTCGTTTAATTCTTTTTCTGTTTTGTAGCATTTGTGTACTAAGATTTGAGGGATTTAGTGCACGTTAAATTATAATTCGGAGCATTATTTCATAATAAAATAATTATTTCTGTTAAGATATATAATTCTAAATTAAACTATTATATTCGAATTGAATATGGTCTAAAAATGATCATAAATAAATTTCATTAACTTGAATTAATAATGAAATCAAATATAACGTTTTCCAAACGCCGTGATTCCAACTTTCCTCACGAGTCCATGACAAATAATGATTTTGTTAGAAATTCATATAAATATTATATATATATATATATGAGAATGGTCCCTTGGCTTACGTGAGGACTAAGTACATGGAAGAACAAAAGTTGCCGGTCGATGCCGGTCTTCAATCATCAATACAGATGCATCCCTTCCAAATTCCTCGATTTGTACAAAACTCAAAACTAATTTTCTTACTTTTCACTCAACAATTACAATTTCTCATATATTTTTTTTTCATAAAAAGGATCATTAGCCCAATCGCTTTGAATTGTGACCAACTTTGAATTTCAATCCGGTACCTCACGTAATCATGACACGTCATTTTTTGCCACATCAACGATTATTCTTTTATATAAAAAAAGAAGAAATTTCATATAAAAAAATTTACACATATATGATATATACATATATTTACACACATATGGGTCGTAATGGAATTTGGCGCAAAAGAAGAAAAACAAGTGAAGATTTTTGGATTTAGTCGGAGAAAACGGCGAGTTGCCGACGGAATATATAATATGAAGGAGGGTTTCTTCGGGACCTTTGCCAAATTATGTAGACAAGGGCAAGGCCCATTTGAAATCAATTTCTAGGGTTTAAGTTATTTTTTTTATAACCAAAGTATTCATCCTAATTATAGTTTAAAAGAATCGAAAATGTCTAGATAAATATCTTTTATAAATACTCGAATTTGGATTGAGAAGAAGATTTGTTTCATCCCTTATCAGTTAGAATAATTCAATTCCGAGTTTTGGGTTTTAAAAAAAAAATACATACAAGAACAGAATTATCCTAAAGTTACGATCTTTTATATAACAATTGATTAAAATATATAATTTTTTTATTTAGTTTGTATTTACTTGTCGTAAGACATATAATTCGGAAATTGTGTCTTTTTATTAAATTATAATAGTCAATTTAAACAAAATTAAATCGAAAATAAATATAATTTAAAAATTGAATATATATATATATATATGTGTATATATATATATCAAAAATTCAAATATCCTAATTAGAAATTATCCTGATTGAAAATTGATGTATCCACGTATAATTTGGATTATACAATATAAATCTATACATAACATCATTTTCTTTTAGCGTTTCACGGCTACACATGTTCGATGGTGCAATTTCTCGACATATTACCGATTCTTGAAATAATTTGAATATGTAATATAATTCTTTAAAAAAAATTCAAAAAGAAATTCAAAATTATGAAAACTGTAATTAGCAAATGGTGCCGAGAATCTTACGACGTAATTATGAATTTCTTCTTAATTAGGCTCCGTTTGGACCGGACACAACTGTTGACTGCACAGATAGACAACGAATGACTTTTTTTTTCCTACGAAAATGAATACTAACTTAGAAAGCACATGTTTACGTGTATAATTTTAGTTCCTTCAATCTTCAATTATTTTTTAATTTTTTTTATTTAACACAATCTTAGTGGGTCCAAATTTTAATATATTAGTTTCAAATTATTATTTTTTATTAATATTATATGACATATGGTAATGTCAGTGCCCAAGTTTCTGGTCGCCGTAGTAAAGCCCACACATTTAGGGAGGGCTACGTGGCTTCATGGGAGACGCATGCTCATCCAACGGTTGAGAGCCTTCTACATTTGCTGACACGTACGACAATATTATAAAATTATATAATCTTATTGACAATATTATAAAATTCTAACAAACTTTAGGATTTGCTATCTACTCAACCTAAAATTATAAACTGCAAGCCAAATATCCATTTAAAAGAATAATAATATTTCTCTTTACACGTTACTTTATGTTTTTTCTATTCATATGATGTAAGAGATTATATCGAAAAAAAAAAACTTAATCTATAACGTAGCGGAGAAAATGGAAATCGTCGGAGTGTAACTGTAACACACTAATATAATTATTGACGTTAATATTATTAATTGTTAATAATTAAAGGCAAATATATCACTACATATTTTGGATTTCCTAGTATTTTATGATTTATCCACCATTTTATCCAGCACATATTCATCATATATCCGAATATTATATTTTACCATTTTTAAAAAAAATCTAAATAATCCTATTTGTGTACCGGCTAATTATATATATATTGAAATTTCGACGAGTGGAATTCAAAGACCGCAGAGGGAGTGGAAAGACTGACGACTACATTTCTCCAGTCGCAACAAGCGAACTTCAAAGAGAAAAATATTCTAATTGAAAATTCCACCGTGCTTGGCTCCTTGTATAATTATATATCCTTTTTTTGGTGTCTAACGGTTCATTTTATTTATTTATTTGGATATATATATATAATACAATTTTAATTTTAATGTAAGTTTTATACTACAATAAATGAAAAATAAATATTAGAGAAATTATCATATTCGACAGATCAGATCGAAATAAATTGACTCGTTTTGAGCTCAACTTATTATATTCATTTTCAAACGAATCAAAAAAATCTCGATTCAATTTGAATAATTATTTCACGATATAAACGAATCAGTTCGTAAATAAAAAATATTAATATTTTAAAATAGAATATATATATTAAAATATCAAATTTAAATATATAAAAATATTATATATAAATAACCAATAACAAATTAATTTAAGTATTAATAGGAGGAAGAATAACAACATTAAAAGATTGGCATTTGTTTCAATGTAATCAAGAAAAACGAAAACAAGAGGCAAAAATCGATAAGTTATGTTGTGGTGCAATACCAGGACAAATAGGCAAATATGGTTGTGAACCTATTCGCCAAAAACATAAAAAAAAGAAATGGAGAAAAATTCCATATAAAAAATATAGGAAACATATATATTCGCTAATCGATTAATCATATTTAAAAAGTTTATATTACAAATTTTAGCAGTGTATCACCTATGATTTAGTTTCTAAAACAAAATTCTGTTTAAATTAAATTTAGAGTTTATTTTTGAAAAAAATCTGTATATCATTCAAAAAATTAATTTAAGAAAATATAACATACACTTTTTTACCACCAATAAGATAATTCTTAGAACCAAATATCAATTAGCATTTGTATTGTTTACTTTGACTTTTCTTTTCAAAATTTTATACAAATATATATTTATAATCTATAGTCAGAGTGGACTAATTTAGAAAATAATCTCACAAGAGGAGAAAAAGAGCGGTGGGAATGGAAGCGACGGCGAAGCAGAACTTGGCGAATCGGCTTCTTGCCGTGAAGAACAAATCCGGCAAGACGTACGGCGAGATTGCGAAGGAGACCGGTCTGACCAACGTCTACGTGGCACAGCTCCTCCGCCGCCAAGCCCAGCTGACACCCGACGCCGCCGCGAAACTCCGGCGAGCTCTACCGGACCTCTCCGACGAACTCATCGACGAGATGATGACTCCTCCGAAGAGATCCTACGATCCCCACCTCATACAAGAACCCACCGTCTACAGGTTGATTTCTCCGGCTTTCAATTTCTCTTTTTCTTTTGGAAAAAAAACCCCCTTTTTTGTGGGGTTTTCAATTTCAGGTTTGAATGATCTGGGTTTTTTTTTTGTTGTTCAGGTTGAATGAAGCAGTGATGCATTTCGGTGAGAGCATCAAGGAGATTATCAACGAAGAACTCGGCGATGGCATGTGAGTTCTTTCGCACTGATAAATGAACACAAAGCTGTTTTTTACCGTTTTGGATTTAGATGCCGAGGAAACACAAAATTGCTTGCTTTTTCTGCAGAAATTTGGATTGAATTGGATATAATGGTTGATAGATTGATCAAGGAATATTTAATGGGTGCTTTATCATGTAGAGCAAGTTTGTTTCTCTTGATGTTACATGGGATTTCTGTAAGTTCTCCCAAGTCTTCCGGAATCTAGGATCGATGTTTCTAACACAACAATTGGCATCTTTATTACATTAGCTTCCGTCTTTATTGGTGGTTTGGTCGTGGTTTCTTGATCATGATAGTGTGTATGTGAACCGAAAGGAACCTAGATGCTGGGTTTTCAGTTTCGTAACACGCTGACGCTGCAACTTTTATCTACTGAAAACGATTTAGGTGAATAGGATTTGTGGTTAATCTTTTCGTTTAGATGCAGAGGATTGTCATTACTTCCCATGTGGGTTGCGATTTCGATTTCGTTGTTGATTCTCCATATGGAATCGTCCACTACGTAGTTTCGGGTTTCTCTTTTTCGTTCATCAAGGTTTCGTTTTTGCTTCGCTTGTCGGGCTGTACTAGTATGTCGGCGATAGACTTCTACTGCTCCGTGGACAAGATCAAAGGAGTGGACGGGAAAGATCGCGTGGTCGTGACCTTTGACGGGAAGTATCTGCCTTATACGGAGCAGGTCAGTAACTGGTGTTCATTTACACTGAATCAGTATGTTCATGAGCATTTTATGTGACATCTGTGAAGCCTGACATGTCAAAGTGCATCTCTACTTGGCTGACATTTTCGGGTTTGATCGAACCGGTCCGTAGATTCTTGAAAATAACTCATAGTTAAGAACATGTCTGTAGACTCGGTCCTGCGAGTTAGGAGATCGTTGACAGATTTTGTCGGATGTATTTCTCGCAGAAAACAGAGAACATGGTCTCGAGGCTAAGCCTAAGAGGAAGCAGCAGCGAATGACCCAAACCAAAAGGCCTTGCTGTTGTGTCACAGCGATAAGATCTGAAGCTTGATTTCTATAAGAATGAATAAATAAAAAAAGATACTTAAATTCTATACATTATACTTTGTTTGGATGCTTAGTTTCTGTTCACAGAATTTGCCATTCTCCTTTAATACACTGAGATTCAGTTTTTTTTTTTTTTTTTTTTTTGAGGTCAAGAGTTTCGGTTCGGGATTTGGTTTCTAAAAAGATTGTGTCAAATTGGCCGGTTTGGTTCGTTTAGGAATAGTTTTGTTATACGAATGTCAAATAAGAACCAAAATTGCAACCCAAGTTTGAGTGGCCTAGTGGTGAGAGAACATGCAAAGCATTCTCTCATCGTATGTTCAAACTCAAGCGTGGGGAGGACATTCACCTGGACTTCTCCGGTTCTTTGGGAGATGTAGTCGGGTCAAAGACTCGGTGAACTTTCGAATTATAAAAAAAAAACCAAAATTGTATATTTCTAAAAATACATATGTATATGAGATGGATAATTCGCCGTATTTCACTTTCATCGGATTCGTTTTCGTAGACGATTTATTCAGTTTTACAAAAAATTATATTAAATTAGAAAAAAAAAATATTATTCGATTCGGTTTCGGTTGTAAGTGATTCATAACTAAATTTTAGAATCGAAACGTAGAAGGAAAATTTTCATATCAATGCATCCATTTAAATTTAAAAAGTGTTTTTTTTCTCTTTAACTTTCACCCCCTAATTTTCTTTTTCCCGATGGCGTAAAGTTAAGCATATATATATTTTTTCCGTATCGATTATACTGTCAAAAAAAGATAGACGGTTGATATTGCTCCTTTTTGAAAGAAATATGAATATTTTATTTATTTTAATAAATAGAAATATTAAATAATAATAATAAATAACTAAAAAAACGAATTAAAAATTGAAATTTTTGTCAGACAAACTGACTTTTCCATTGCATTGGACATCACACGTGTCGGTCCAAATGTTTCTCCAGAACGTGAAATAAACGGTCCAAATCCATTTGTATCCGAATAGGGATAATCCCATATTTCCCCACAAATTTTCGAAAAAGTTCCAATTTTCTACACCAATTTTTAATTGGCAAAATAACAAAAATAACCTTAAAAATGACAAGAGTAACATGCATAACCTTAGAATCTCTAGGGTTTCCCAAAAAACCAATATTTTTAATAAAATTACGGAAATACCAGAATAACTAGTCTGACCAAAAATTTTTTGGTATGACCAGTATGACCAAATTCAAATGGTATGACCAAATTCAAATGGTATGACCAGTTTGACTGAATTTCGATTAGTTTGACGTGACCAGTTTGACTGAATTTCGATTAGTTTGACGTTACGAGAAACAATTGGTATCAGAGCCAGGCAACGATTATGGATAACGAAAAAATTGATTTTTCGAAAGGATTACCGTTAATATTAACCAACGAAGATGAATGTTATCCTGGATTTCCTTATAAAGGAAAGGTGATAACAATACCTAAAAATCTTCATAATCAAAGCCGATATTATATTGGTACCATCTTCGATGATGATACTAATCATAATCTCGGAAATAAAATAAAGAAAATAGGTTTTACCTTGAACAATATTGTTGAAATGATTTCTTATGGAATCATCCATCAAAATCCAGAAAATCATGAAGAATTAAAAAGAAATATTGAGAATATAAAATCAGATTTAGAGAATCAGCTACAAAAATTAATAAAAATATTTGAACAAAACCATGAAAAACAAAATGAAACTAATAATATAAATAAAAAATTAGAAGAAATAATATATCTACAAGAAAAAAGTATTAAAGAAATAAAACAAAACTCTGAGGAATTAAAAGAATATATTAAAACAATAATAGGATGACAGAAACTATGAAAGAAACTATAGAAAAAATAATTAAAGAAACAACAGCTGAAATAAAAGAATTACTACTAAATATCAAAGAAATACTCACAACAACAAATGGTTACAGTAATAATAACAAACAAATTCAAATAATAAAAGAACTTAACGAAGCTAAAGAATTAGTAAATAATATTATTACACGAAATAACGGAAAAGAAATAATGGATCCAGATAAAAATGAAAAACCAAAAATATTAGAAATAATAGAACAATTACAAGAAATAATCGAACGACTTAACCAAAATAGATATATCACTATAAAAGACTTACAAAATTATTTTAAAAAAGAAACAAAAGAATTAATTATTATCGATAAATCTAATTTTCGAATTAGATCACCACCAAAGATATAATGGAAGGACTAGATGATCAGATAGAAAGATTATCAACATTATTAGCGGCTCTTAATATACCCGAAGAAGAACAACCTGATGAAACTGAAAAAATTGTCTTAGATTATAGTAGCGATGAAAATCCTTACGAAAATCCATATAATAATCCTTTCCTAGTAAAAACCGAACTAGAGAGGGGGGAGAACAGTAATAATAATAGTAATAATAATACATTACCTAAAAAACGAACACATGATGAATATCAAGGATACAAAGATCATGAATATGAACTATATCAAAACCAATATATTCCAAAAGGAAACAATTGGAGAAAAGTTCCTTTTGAATATATTCCCAAATATGATACATTTAATATAAAATCTTCTGAAATATTAAATTTAGATTGTGAAATTAATCCAACTAGAACATTAGAAGATTGGAAAAATCGTACAAGTTTGTTAATACAAACTAATAAGGAACTAAGAGAATTGCACCCTCACGAAATGTTAAGCTACTTAGAACATAAAACAACAGGAATAGTATACAACTACTTAATAGGATTATCAACAGGAATAAAAGCAGAGAAAATTCTAAGATCAACTGCATGGGAAACATTTGTTAGGCTAATTGACGTAATAGGAGAAGAATTTCTTGGAAGAACTTCTAACGCACAATTAAGAGAAACACTAATATCAGAAGTTGCACTATGGAAAATAGTAAATCTTAGAATTTGTAACATGTGTTATCTTGAAGCATTCATTTGCGAATTTAGAGATCATTACTATCAACTAGCAACGGATAAGAAAATAGTAGCCGAAGAATTATTCTTCGATAAACTACCTTTATCAATATCAGAAGAAATAAAAACCATATACCAGAATAAAGTAAATGAGGGACAAATTCCCAATACGCTAGGAGGAAGAATAACAACATTAAAAGATTGGCATTTGTTTCAATGTAATCAAGAAAAACGAAAACAAGAGGCAAAAATCGATAAGTTATGTTGTGGTGCAATACCAGGACAAATAGGCAAATATGGTTGTGAACCTATTCGCCAAAAACATAAAAAAAAGAAATGGAGAAAAATTCCATATAAAAAATATAGGAAACAAAAATACATACCACAAAAATATTTCAGAAATAGAAAACAATACAAAAAGAAAAACTATGGTAAGAAGGATACATACTGTCCTTCTAAGAAAAAGAATTGTAAATGTTGGCTATGCCAAGAAGAGGGACATTATGCAAATGAATGTCCTAAAAAAGGAAAGAAAAAAGAAACAGAAATACTACGAATAGCATACGATATGGGCTTTGAACCAATCGAATCAGATTCAGAGTTTGACTCTGACATCGAAATATATGCATATACCACTGAATCATCTGATTCAGAAAATGAATAGAAAAATACTAAAATCAGGAAATCCTAATGCAACATTCATACAAATAACTATTGAAAAGAAAAAATTATTAGCATACATAGACACTGGAGCAACTACAAAAATAACCTTAAAAATGACAAGAGTAACATGCATAACCTTAGAATCTCTAGGGTTTCCCAAAAAACCAATATTTTTAATAAAATTACGGAAATACCAGAATAACTAGTCTGACCAAAAATTTTT